AATCCAGGAGAGCTGCGCATCACAACGAGCTTCTTTCAAAGTGCTAAACAGAAAAGAGTACAATTATTTATCTCCAATAGAAGATTTAATGCACAAATTTGTGATTTAAAAAAAAGTAAGGTAATGAAGTAGACAGACAATAAAACAAATTAACTTCATGGACAAACCACAGAAGAGAGAAAATTAAGGTGAAGTTTAAACATCTGCAGTGCGGATTGAGTAATAGCATGCAGACCTTGTCACAGTTGTTTTCTATTTCCTTCTGTGAAGAGAAGCTCTCAGGTGCAGTCCACAACAGTATGCTCTTTATGTGTCTCTCCTATTATGTAAAGATAGTAGCAGCTAGAAGGAAGCATCAAAAGACTATCCCTCCCCATAGACCTAAATTCCACGCACAAGGCATTGCAAGCTTTAAACAAGAAAGCACAAAGGACCAGCTCCAGGGCAAGTCTTTAGTTGACCTACCTCTTTGAAGACTGTCTATCTAAGAAGTTATCAGTAGTGGAAGTTACACAACATATAAAGGAAATGAGCAGGCTTACTTATTTTACAAATAGTGTTAACACAAACTGAAATACATGACAGAACTGTTTAACCTGTAATTTATTGTAATAAGAAAACATATGACCTCTTCTGACTAAGAATAGTGCAGATGGCAATGCTAATCCATTCTTACCTACTTTCTAAATTATTTAGGTGTTCAGAACATAGAGAGTATGGAAACGAATAAAAAAAAACCCAACTATTTAATTAATGAATTATTAATTTTAGTTTCTAACCTATTCAGAGGGGAGCTTGCTTCTCTTTAACATGCTAAACTTGATTAATACAAATACTCTATTAAGCTAGATACTAATAGTAATCAGTTATACTGATTCCTTTAAAGAACAGCCTTTACTTTAACCAGTCAATGCACAGGAATAATGTTTCTTGACAAAGTGAAAAGGTTTTGGGAATCAACAGTATCCCTCAGTGCACCTAAATCCTAACAGTCTTTCCAATTTAAGATGTCAGAGTGTTTAAGAAAAAAATTAATCCAAAACCTATTTCTGTTCTTATAGTGACTGTAATCTTTGCTGTTCTAACTGAGAAGCATGAAAATCACTTAGTCTTCCTCATCTAAGTGGGCCCTTCGAACCTTTCCAGAAGTTAGAATACTGCATCATTTGCAGAAATAGCCAACTATTAAACTGACTTGCAAAGTGTGTGCAACAGTATTAATAAAAGAAATTGTATAAATAACTGAAATGACTTTCCAGGGAAAATATGTGGCTGTAAGTGTATGAAGAGGAAAAGCAAGAAAAAGTCGCAAATTGTGTACCACCTTCACCTGAAATCCACACCAAGAACAGAGAGCCTGCTCACAGAAAACATTCGCTTTAACAAACCTAGAAATCCCTATCTCCATCAGAATCTAATTTAGATGTGTCTGTTTAGCAAGGATACTGCACCTTCTGAACACAGAATATGCATATAATGATTTAAATGAAATAGCCAGTGAAAATAAACACTAAACCTTCCCATCAAAGTGTTATCGAAGCACCCGGATGAGATTCTTTTCTTGCTTATGCTGTCATAAATCAATGGCAGCTTCACTAAACTCAGTAGAGTAGATAAACCCAAACTTCAGGGTACCTTCTTCTAAAACATGCATTGAAAACTATTTTGAGGCAGATCAGTATCAAGCTACATGATTTAACATATGTTGCACTTGAAATGTACAGTTACTAACAGTTTAGAGGACATGCTCCATAAATTAAAACTTAAACAAATATTGTTTTTATTACAGGTATTAACATACCTTAAGTAAAGGAAATATACACAGAGTGCCTTGCCAATAGAAAGAAAAAGTATTTTACTGGAATTAAAACATGCTTGTATAAGGAGTAAAAATTATGTCTGCTATAGATGCTTGTTTAGCATTTGTGTAAAAGTTTCTCTTCAGACAGGGGAATCAGAGCTACTGATTTACCTCATCTAATAAAAAAAAAAAAGAGGTGTAAAAGAGTTGCTCAGTTCTAGCTGACCTTGAATGTAATTGGCTACCTTGGATGTCTCTATGGTATATGCCATTAAGAAGATAAAAATATACAGGATTAAAATCTGAACCGATAAAGCCAAGAAATTAAGTATTACTCCTCTAATAAGCCTACTTTATAGAAGTACGTGAATACCAAAATATCTCCTTACTGATTGCTGTTGAAGTGTGAATAAATTTAAAAATAAGTTATCAGAAGTGAAAGTATCTAATATTTTATTTTCGCCCTTCTCACCTGTTTAAAAACCATGAATAAAGAATTCAAAGCAAGTCTTTTTTACTCCATGACACTCCATCCAAAATCACTTGTACACCACCACATTCTCCAGCTTTTTATAGACTTACATAGTCTAGATAGATAATTTTATATCTTAAGATGAAGACAGAGGCATATTCTTTGCTATTATATTTTTTTTCAGTGCAACAGTTGGATTTTTTTCCTACTTCTGTACTATTTAAGAGTTTAAAATGTTATGCAATTGTAAGAACACTGTTTTACCAGGTCAGGGTTGATTATTACAGAGATGAGATTGTTCCACTATACTCCAAACCAATAGCTACAAAAAAAAAACCAATTTGAGTCACAAAAAACAATTAGTCAAGAGAAAAAGGTCTGTCAGTTAAAATATCAGGGCAAAAGTAGAGACCATTTTTGCCAGTCATGAATAAAGCAGAACTGTGGTAAACTGTGGGAGAAAAAAAAGCTTATGAAAGACTGTTTCTTAAATTTTAAAACCCCAAACATGTAGAGATCAAAATAAAAAAAGTCCCTTTGGCCTTTGGTATCAAAGTAGTTTGTGTTAAACTGGTACTTGAATTTAGGAATAATTCATTCAGCACAGGTTTGGAACTGTAAAAAGCAATTATAAAATTTAAGGCGAGATTATGATTTAGGGAGTATACACATGATTAAAAAAAACCCCAAGAAACACAGTATCATGAATATTTGTTGCCACTGATCTTTTTTCCATCCCTGATACAATCACAGATACAGGAGGCCGTTGCAACCACAATGCAATTTTGTGCTGATTATTGTAGTAAACATCACAGAGGAATTAAGAGACATCAATCAACCTTCTGGTAGCTAAACAGAAGTTTAGGGACAGTACTTGGCAGCAAGTCTACAACTTAAATTTGGTTCAAACCTCCTCCATGGAAAGGACTGAGAATTATGGAGCAATAGATTTAGAAAACCAAATCAGTGTAACTAAGTGGTAAATTTCAGCTCTAAGGCTTATAATGTCAACTTAGCCTCCATCCTAGTGCAGCAGCTATATTATTACATTGTATTGTATCCTTAGAGCTTTCAGCTATAATGAAGAATTTTACACTATATAAAGTTGTTCCAGTAGCAAAAAACTGCTACAGGGTTGCAGAATTAGGGTATGTTTTAGGATCACTGCTATCTCAAAAAAGTTTGTATCTAGCCTTTAATTAATAAAAAACAGAAGCTGTGAAACCTAATTCAGTATCAAATAATCCATGTAACAGATTTGTTTAAAACTCTACCCTGTATTTTAAATGTCTACAATTGACTTTTTGTTTCATTTCCTTTGAATAAATGTAAAGGGATGTTTTACATGTAAGGTAAAACATGGTTAAATACCATTTATTAATGCATAAAGAATGACCCTAATGGAGATTTCAAATAATATCTGTCTTCTATTCCTTCTCTTCATGATCCTAATATCCATTTAAAAATCTTGAATCAAGTATTTCCCAAAGAAAGTAAACATAAATCTAATGACTTACATATAATACATTTATATTTGAAACAAAACAGCAATAGTATTAACAAGCAACCTGATTTACACATTAGACAAGTTTATTCTTACACTGAAATAAAACACCCTAAGTTAGGGGACTGGGAAGGAGAAAAAAAAAAAAAAACAACAGGTAAATTGGAAATGTCATTGTCTTTCACCCTTAATGAGGTAAGGCATTTTTAGCAGGTAACACTGCTAATAAAGACTCTCCTTAATAAACTGAACATCATCTTTCAGATTACTCCACTGTACATCGCTTCAAACTTCAACTCTGCTGCAAGGCATCTTCCTTGACATCCATTTTCACTGATATATTTTCAACAGTGGTTTCTGACATTGCTACTAGTTTTGCAGCTTGCACCTCTGGTTCTCCTGCCTCTTGACACTTCTTATCACTTCCTTCCCAAATCCTCCTCAGAATCACAAGTGCTCCTTGTTCTCAATATACCAGTGAAGCAGTCTCTTTTCTCAACTCCCAATTCACAAGACAGTAGTAAGGCTGAAGAACAGACACAAGCAGCAAATCTTGCTTTAAATAAAAAATAAAAGTTGCAGAGCTCAGGTCACAACACATTACTGGCCTGCCATAACAACGTTTCTTCTTGTCACGTGGTAGATATCCACCTTGTTTCAAACCTCTTATTCTCTCTCTGCTCCTTGATTTGCTATCATATTTGCTATTACTCGGATAACATCTTTTTCATCATTACTCGTTATGTCTGGGGAAAATTCCAAATCCTTATGAAAAAGGATCTTTCTCTACTCTCACCTAGCATATTCCAAACTGACATATGCATTCTCTACCCTAAGATTATATTCAGGAAACAGCTAATCCAGGTTTTAAAATACTCTTATGAGCTCTACCAAAGTATTACTGCATTACTTCCTTCATTTTTCCTATAGTTTGCAAATCCCTCATGATAGCTAGAACTGCTGTCTCATGCACCATGTAAAATCTAGACACTTCACCAATTACAGATATTGGTGTATATCACCCAGTCCCAAAAGCAGAAAAGGGAAGTTATACCTTGAAGCTTCATCTTGAAAGTGTTTTCTGAGTACCCTAAAATTCCAATGGACTGAGTAATATGTGTGCATTTACTTTTATAATTTTATTCATACAAGAACTGCAAGATTTGGCTTATTCACCAAAAGATAAATTTCTGGTGCCTATTTCATAAAGATAATCATCTTACCTTTACAGTTTTACTTAAGACTTGGTTTTTATCTGCTTCTTCACTGGAGTGCAATTCTAGTTTATTATTTAACACTTGTAGCTGTTGCGCCTGTTCATTCAAAAGCACTTGTGCCTGATGCTCCCGATGTAATGCATTATTTAATTCTTCACATGCACTTTCAAATCTCTCACAGGTGATTAATTTCTGATAAGGGAAATAAATTGTGTTTGATTGTGTGACTGTACTCACTTGCCTACATGCTTAATTTTCAGTTGCACTTGCAAACATATCAAATTCTAAAACAAAAGTGTGCTAAAGATGAATATTTAGGGTTTTTTAACATGAAGACAGATCACCAAACAGTAAAACCATAGATAACTTTATTCCCCATGTTTTTTCAAAAAAAACATTCTGGGTATTGTAAACAGTATGCATTCATTATTCTATTCAAATTAGCATCCCAGGCTGTAAAGATTCAACATTTAGAGGAAATATGCAGATCAATGTCCCACATTTCATTGCATCTTATTAACCCTTGTAAACATCTTCCCAGACTCATTCTCCCATCCCCAAAATGTTCCATAAGGAAGAAATAATTCTTCAAGGAAAATCATCATCTACACTTGAATGACAATCTAAAATGTGACAATTTAATCCCAGAACTGTAAGGGAATAAAACCCATTAAGAACAAAACTGAAAATTATTAGATATAACCTTGTCCATCTGAATAAAAAAGGACCCATTTTACCAGCTAGAAGCAAGAAAGAGAATGGATGTGAAATCATCTATTAAATATTCTCTGCTTGGAAGTGTTTTGATTGGGACACACTGACAGATCTACCAACCAGGCCTCAGGATCGACACTGGGCACAGCTACAGAAAATGCTGCTCAATCTGGGTCATGACCGTTTCAGTTATACTGTGCAATTGTAAAGCAAGTGATGTGTGAGAATCATTAACCATTCACTTTCTCAAACAGCTCAAATGTGAGCTCAATTCTGAATGCAATCTATAGAAAATAAGCATAGGAAGAAAGGTGTAAGCCTCCAGCATACCAAAGCAAGACAAGTTTCTTCCCCTCCAATAAGGACTGAAGGCACAGTTCCATGACTATGACAGGGAACAAACCAACAACCTACAAAACGGCATCAATCCCTCAAATGCGTGTCCATTAGTCAATATACTGTGGCTTCAAGTGGTTAAGGAAACATCATGGTGTCTCTTCTCATTCCTGCCAGACAGTGCTATTTACAGGTTAGTGAACCCACAGTGTTTAAGTAAATTCATCAGCAACAGCAAGGGGTCAGAGAAATTTGGTGATTATGTGCTACTGAGAATGCAGAAGAGGGCTTTTTTTTTAAACTTGCCATAAACTCACTCCTTCAAAGAAACAGCCACACTAAAATTTGCACTGACTAGCTCAGGATATAATCCATAGTCAAAGGCACAGTAAAATGTCTATCTTAATATTCAGCAATATCCATGCAGATTTTAAAATAATATATTTATGCTTTATGAACTTCTCATGAACATACTTATTGGATACCCTCATTATAGCTGACTTTACTCTGCTGAAGTGAGGTCTATAAATCCTTTTAGAGTGTATAAATCACACCATTTTCAAAATATGGAAGAAAACCTGGGTTGCCAAAGACCAAACATGTAATTACATAGAATACCTCATTCTACAAACGAAAGAGAAACTCCTGAGGAAAGGAGATACTTCTAAGTACATCTGACATAGTCCAGTGATGTTTACAAGTCAAGTTTTCTGGAGAATTCTGTTAACAGTAGATTGAATTTATACTTGTTTTCAAAAGAACACAAAAAAAAATGTGTAAAAAGGAGGATCTTGTGTAAGCAGACTCCTCTAAATCAAATATACTTACAGATCTCTTAAACATATTTAATTGCTCTTGAAGGCTCTGGGCTTTATCAACTTCTTTTTTCATCTCACTGAAATTCCATTTGAATTCTGCAAGTTTTAGACGCAGTGAGCGACGTTCCACCTCTGCTGTATGAAGTCTTTGTATAAATTCAAATATTTGCTTCTGCAAGGATGCTATGCTTTTCTGTTAGTAAACAGAAACAAATTCATGTGCTATAAAATGGGCTATTTTGTCAATAAAATCAATCACATTTAATACCTAGGCAAATTAGACAAAATTGTCATTTGTCCTCCAGCTCTAAAAGACACACGAGTGCAAAAATATGAATCTGTTTCACCTACTGTCGATGATTACTGAAAATTCTGCTTTCAAGGGAGTGCCTGTTTTCATGTAAGGCCCACAATAAAAGACAGATTATGTGAGCAAGAGTTTATCCTTTCATTTTAGTTAGAGAAGAAGGTTATCTTTACTGAAAGATAGAAAAAGTAATTTGGAGAAAAGAAGGGGGAAAAAAAAGAACAAACCTTAACATTTAGTTAAAGACAAAATTAAGTTTGTTCTTATAAAGCAAATACAATCTTGATAGAACTTTTAAAAAATGTTTTTCTTGGATACATCAAATCTCTTCTTAAAATTATTTGACAATAAAAAGATCTATTCATGTTCTAATGCTTTTGGGTGTTGCAAATACAGTTCTGACTCTCTATACAGTTGACTTCAATGTAACAGACTCATAAACAATCTGAAACAAAATTAATGCTGCTAACAAGAGAGCTTCACTGTAACACTTAAGCTGTGAACCTACTATTTACACAAAGTAGCACTATAAAGATGCATACCATAATAGGTAGTTTGTCACACAATCCAGCTTCCAGGGCCTGGGTATTTATTTTATGAAGTCCATGAGCCAGCCTCTGTACCAAGGAGTCGTTCTCCAGACAACTAATGTTCTTGCTGCTGTCTCGTGGAGCAGTCTCCATTATTACATTAAGCTTGTCCATAAGTTTTGAAAAGGAGTTCCTAGCTGCACTTACAAGTAAGTGTCCAGAAAGCCAGGGTTTTACATCTTTAAGAAACAACAACAAAAAAATCAAGTAGGTTATTAGTTTTTGGTTTTTTCAGTGGGAAAAAGAAACAACCACAAATACCATCTTTAAAATACTTAGTAGGAAATTTCCATTAAAGAGTGGAGGATTGAGCTCACATGATTATCTCAGAGACTTTGAAACAAATTCTGTATTCAGCAATGAATACTCTACTCCTATCAATCTTCGGATAGAAAGGTAGGATAGGATTTTAAAGAATAGTATTTTTTTGTAAAAGAATAATTTTTCAGTTGTTTTTATGTTCTCCTCTGATTACTATACTTTAAGTCTTTGTTGGGTGTTCTAATTTTGTAGTTCAGAAAACATCTTAGATGGATGCAAGCAAATGCAAGCCAGGTTAAGTATGTCATATGTGATAGCACATGGTAAATCACTTTATCGCTGTATTTACAATGCAAATTTCTGAGGGTTTCCTGACTCCTCTTCCCTCCCCTCTATAGATGTCTAAATCATTTGCTGTTGAAAATTAGTGAGGCTTAGTACCTTAATGCCATACTATTTATATTCTGAGACAAGAGAATATAATTTACCTTATTCCAAGGCAATTAAAATTTTACAGCTACAATTACTTATTTCCCCACAGGATTTTGGTAATCATCCTTCTCATATAATGGACTTAAGGCCCCAGCACACACAACATGTCCTGCTTACTGCTAGATTCGTCAGGTCTGTAATTAATAATTGTGTTTAATGTTGATAAATAAAATTGTCAGTGCTCCTTCCACTAATTGGTATTCCAGATAACAGTTAATAGGTTTATTTATGCCTTAATAAAAGTCTTGTAATTTAGTTTTCCCTCTGCTAGACAGGTCTTAATCTGTCATTACTTGTCTTATGATACTATCAGTGTAAGATGACAAGCATGGAAGAGCTTATTTACATTCAGTAGTACAGCAGATCTCCTGTTGCTGCAGTGAATTCAAATATTTACTTAACAGCATAAACAGAAAAAAATAACCATAGCTTTTTTAAATTAAATAATTTCCTTTTATACATTGCAAGCATAAAGCCAAACGTTTAAAGCAAACAAAACATGATTATTGATATTTTAAAATTACTATTCTCATCATAAAAACTGTATCATTCACACATATGAGATGAAATTTATCTGTAAGCAAAAAAAAAAAAAAAAAAGCACATGATAAAGTCAAATATTCTTTTTTCAGATCAAATCTCCTGCTTGGTTTCAAAATATCACCATTCCAATGATTCCAGTACTTTATTGGAGTACCATTTTTGAGTACAAGTTCTCCATAAGCCCAGCTAGTAGTAAATCTGTCTTTTCTTCATGTCTAGGATAGCACTCTTTCTATTCACATTTAAAGATGAAAATCTTAGCCAGGATTTTTATGCCACATTTCAACTAACAAAACATCCTTTGAAATAAAAAAAAAAAACATTATTCTCATACCCAGAAGAAACTGCTATTGGCCAAGTATCTTCTCTTTTCCTTATATTGGATCTGTGATGTGATTACTGATCACATAAAAAATAGGCTACCTTCATATTTTTAACTCTTATTATAGATTATGCTGTCCTACCTGTCTTTTAGTTTCTTTTCTCCAGTCATGATGCATTCAGTCATTTGAATGTTTAGTAAAATTAACCTAACATTAAAATTGGAACGTTTGTACTGGCTTTCATGTAAGATGACATCAAAACCTTCTAAAAAAATTCTCCTTTGCCATGATTTTTGGTAAATATCAAAACATGCATCCTGTCAATGAGCTACTGTTCCTTCATTTTTCCTAGTATTTCTACCTGGTATCTCATTCTACATGAGATTGCCTGCCAGAAAACACAGTATTTCTCCATATGTCTGCACCTAGGATGGCAGCCCCTTTCCATATGTCTAGAACCTTCAGTTTAACTGTATTAAAAATAAATCAATAATAATAGTTCAGGTGATTGTGTTGTAGCATTTTGAAATTATCATTCCACTATATAACCAGGATTTCCATTATTGAGTTCAGTTCAGCACCCACAACTTAAGGCAATTTCTTGGGATGAGGGAAAAAAAAATATCACCTCTGTTGTTCTGTGTTTTTTTTCTGAAGAGCACTTTGGAGTAAATACATAGAAATATGTTGATGCAAGTTACTGACCACTTTGAAAGATGAAATGAGAACATAACGCAATTCCACAAGGAACTATTTCTATAATCATTGAGAAGGTAATATACAGTTTAAATATATACATTTTAGGGTAATTACCCACGAAGGATCAAGGGATTATAATAAAAGCATTAAATGATGTACACTGTGATGTGTATAAGAAATTATTAACAGAAATACAGGTATATCACAAAGAGCAGTTCTTACATTAAACAAATGAAAAAAAAAAAAAGACAATGAAAAGTGACAAATCTTACTTCACTAACAGATGAAGAAAGAATTACTGTTTACTCTTTCAATGAGACAGAACAGTCAGCAAGAGGAACTCTGTAGTACTACAGAAGACTAAAATTTTCAAAAGCTTTGTGTATACGAGTTGATACTTGTATTTTAAAAGTTTGACCTTTACTTTCTCTGGTTTATCACAGTACAGATTGTGTTCAAACCAACCTACAAAACTAACCTTACAAGAAAACCAAACCAAACCAAAACAAAACCCCCCAACACTTTAATAAACTCATATCCAAATTGAAGCTAAGAGATCATTCCAAGACGTGCCAGAATGAGAACCAAACTAATGAACAGTGTGAAAGGAATGATCATGAATGTCAAAATAAGAACACTTTTTAAAAAGTTAAAAGCTAAATACATGTGTCTCAAATCACCAGAATGCAAAAGCCCGAAGTTCCTATGTTATCTGAGTGATGTGGATTTGGTTTCTTTCAACTGCCTCAAATGGTTCCTCAGAACCTAGCCGTCTTTAAAAATAGTTTTTAACACACCAAATATCCCATATTATAGATCCAGATAGCAACTTTGTGAGCCTACTCTCTCCTGTGATGCACAGTCTAATCTGGAACGGCCATTATTTCAAGATCTGAAGAGATCGGATACCTCTCAGATTGACTATTTACACTTAAAAAAATTTCAAAATCATTTAAGTCAGCTTGAAGGTTTAAATCCTATTTGAAGTATGACAGAACATAAAATAATTTCATAGGTACGCAAGCTTTCGTTCAAGTATATTCCTTCAGAGCCTTATCACTTCGATACTTCTGGAAATTTCACGTCAAACTTTAAATTATTTATTACTATTTTTTGAACCAAAGGTTCTTGGGAGACTTTTGATCTCATGAGCAATAGAATTCCAAGTAATACATGAGAAGTTAGATCTTGAGGTTCTGTGAAAATAACTTAAAATAGAGATAAGCTATGAAAGAATCACCAAACTGACTGTGGCCCTAACATTCTCACCATGGCTTTTGCTAATTCTCAAAATCAAAACTGTGTTCAGTGCAGAGATATAAAGTAAACAGAGTCCACCAGTATTCTCATATACTTCAATACTGGCAAAATATCATGAGGTTTACGTTATTCTAACTAGGCACTTCAGCACATCAATGCTGCTGTAAAATTGCTCTTGATTCTTTTTCAATTTGCTGTTCTTACTCAACACTATACACAGGAACACTTGCAGTATAAACCCTGTAAATATTGTGAAACAGTTCAAACTCTGTTTTATAAGGATGTAAATTTAAGTTAATGAAAACAGGACGATCAAAGAAGAGAGCACCTGATACTGAATCGAAACACTTTTGATTCAATCGCTGATTTCTGTCACCAGTTTACTGTTCAGGCTTCTGGGAAATGTATCACCTTCTTTCTGTTCTGCTATTTCCCTTTATTCATATAAATTATCCTTCCTTTAATATCCCTTATTCTCTGACAGGATTGTTGGCACTTTGAACCTACCAGGTACCAAAGAACTAAATACGACAGCAATACAGAGAAACCAAGTGACATCTTGTACCAGTCCTCACTGCAAAGAAATAATCACAGTTAACAGCTGGGACACAAGAGGTGACACTTCCAGAGACTGCCACTAAAATTTTCCATAGGCATAGTAGAATTCTATATGAGGAAAGACTGAGAAAATTAGGAAATGTAGACACAAATCTAATGAAGCATATACTTAGGGAAAGAACACAGCAGAGGCATAAAATAAGTACTGCTATACATTGTGTAAATAGAGGGCATCTTATTTCTCTCTCAAAAGCCACAAGATAGCAAGTAAATCAGATGAAAATAGTATTAATAAAATTCAATTGGCTTCCAGACTTGGAATTTCTAAATTCATCTCATAAAACACAGTAGGAAATTAGGAAATTATTTCCTTTAAGTCAGCAGCAGTAACATGTCAGGTTGAATATGTGCAACTTTTAGAGCCTGTGCTTAAGAAATACACAGATCAAATAGACAGAAATGATGGAGATTTTCTCTATGGAAAAAAATTAGGTTGAGTTTCAGTAAAATACTTGTTGAATATTAGAACAGTGGAACAAGATAATTAGGAAGCTTGTAAATATTACATCACTGAAAGCTTTTAAGAACAGATTAGCCAAGTATATGCTGGCATGGTGTAGACATTTTTATTCTATCTCACAACAAAGCAGACAAAACTGTTTATATGCTTTCTATAAGCACTCTCCAGCCTTCAGCTTCCTTGACTCTATATATTGAAATTCCAAAGTATCATATCACCAATTAAAGAAAATGAATCTGTTCCAACAATACAGACCTCCAGAGATTTGATCCAGAATAGTTTAGACAAAAGTCCTAAAAATGGAAATGCTGTAGCCACCCTGATTATTTTATCTTTTACTACAAGAATATAATTTTAAAATTACCTGTTCTGTTAACAACAGCCTGTAATTCAGTGACAGAACTCATTATTGCAGTGAGGAGGTTAGAACTAGTAAACCAGCTGAGTGCTTCAACACAGTGATTTTGCTCCTCTTTGTGACCTGTGAAACAGAATTGTAACTAGCAATAAAACTTAGTAACTTAGATAAGGCATGCTACTATCTCCAGCTCTTTCAGAAATTGACCAAATGTAAGTATATAAGCCACAAACTAATTCTTCTTTCAGGACAATTTAGACTGCATTAAATATGCTTCCAGAACTACTAAAAAAGAAAGGTAGATGGATCTTCCAGTTTGGGAAACATTTTTGATACCATTTATCCTTGTAGGGGGAAGCATGAGCTGGTCTGGTAACAGAAAGGGAGAGGAAGACTACATAATCTGTAAAGAAAAATTTTGAAATCCTATACTAATATTTTACCTGAATCAGAAAGCAACTTTTTGCATTTTTAGTATGAAATAAATATTAATAGTGATTAATAAAAGAAGATAAAATGTCTTTTCAAAAATATGTTGACAGTTAATCATTTAGGAGCAATACAACATATTCACTACAGAGAAGATGCGGTGGCATCTAGTTCTAAAATCCGTAACACGAATGTCAAGGATATGAAATAGTGTGAGTTCACATTTATAATCATAACTTTTCTTTCAATAGCTAACAGACTAAGCATTTCCTTTTAGAAGAAACTGCATTTGTCAAGAAATCCAGAAATCACAAATCAATAAATTACAGTTGTCAAAATGTCATTAAATGTCTTTACACTCTATTAATAATAACATTACTATTTGTTATTCACTAACCGTGTAACTTGACAGAACGCTTCTAAAGGAAAAAAAACAGTAAGCTTACTTGAGAGATTATGCTTGCCTTTGGATTCTCCTATACAAACTAGAATTCCAATGCCTTCTTTGAAGCCAGTTACCCAGGAGAAGAGGGAACTAGATGACTGGCCTAAAACTTTAAGTCTGTTAGCTGCCAGAACTGCGATCACACCTCTTCGGAACACATGAATCAGGCCTTTGAATTTTCCTTTTTTCAGTTTTGCTTCATCTTGATTGTTTTCCTCTACATCAGAGAGAGCATGAACTAGGGTCCTAATCTCTTGGTTCGCTAGTTCATAAATGTTGACCTGATCCTGGAGAAGGTCTCTTTGGGAAGACATTGCACATGATCGGCCATAGAGAGGATACAGGGCACCTGCCAATAGTGCACAGGCTGCCAGAAGAGATGAATGCTCCTTCTGAACCTGCATTAACATATTTTTCACAGATACATTTTCAAGGGCCAATTTCTCCTCTCTTTTTTCAAGGACATAAATTTTTTCCTTGTTTTTCTCTGCTGTTTTTTGGTATTCCTAGGATAAGGGGAAAAACAAACAAAACCAGAATAAATATTAACTAGAACATGTTTTTTAAAATAACAAAATCATTCTTACCTAGATAAAAGCTAAAAGAAATTTAATTTTTTTTTCCAGATTCAAATAACACTTTGGAGGAACAAAAATTATTAGCAATGACTGTCAAAGTATCTTTCCTAGCAAACAGTTACAGAAACAGAAATATGAAAACAAATCAATAGTATGAGGAAAATTTGCACAATCTTCAAATACAAATGGACTCCACATTTCTGGTGAAAATCCACTAGTATTGCAATAGGCCACAGAGGGCCCAACAGTACCTGGTTGTCCACAGTAGTTTTATGAGTTGGCTTAACAATAGGCAATTACACGCTCCTATTTCAGAAATAACATTGATCTTCAAAGCAGAAAACAAAGTTAGTGTAAGAGAGAGGAAAAAACCAAGGAAGACTCTGGAAGATAAACCTAGACAGATTGGTAGCAGCTGGGAAAGGGGAAGTAAAGGTGATCTCTTAATTACTTTGTAATCAACCCCCTACTTATATATTCACAGATTAATTAGGTCTCATACAGAATTGAGTTTTCAAAAGAGGAGTGTAATACAGATATTTTTACTTTGACTAGCACCATTACAGACTTTTTCAACTTGAAGAACATTTTTTCTTTTCTTCTATATGCACTGAAACAGGGGAAGTGAGAGATTTAAAACAGTACAGCAGTGTAACAAAATGAAGACAGTAAGAAAACAGGGAATGCCAGGACTAAGGTGAGACCGTGCAGACTGGTTGTTTTTAGTAAAATGCAGTTCTTGTACAGGAATCAAGGCACTACGCTGGGACCTCAGAGACTTCGAGTGGCTTCCTGATGCATGAGAGCCGTCTGTGATTGGAACAATCACTTGAGGCTACATTAAACAGGATCCAGTGGTGTAAGGAGATAATAAATTTTAGGCACTGTTCACAAAGAAGCCACAAGCTCAAGTTAAATACTTACTCTCCAGTTACAATACATGGACACAAAAAAGCAAACACGAATGAAATAACAAATTTGTACAATGAAGAGAAGATTTCAGCTACTTCTCTTAGTGCTATAAGAAATTTTGTTAAAAATGGGGTGGAGTTATTCCTGTTAACAGTGGCCAAAACAGAAGTAAACTGGTGTCATCCAGCCACATTTCCATGTGTTCTGTGTGGTACTGGTCCCAAGCAAGTGGTGAGGGGCGCACCCTAGTTTCTTCTCCCTCCTCCACCCTGCAAGCACAATAGGGGAAAAAATACATAGCTATTCCTAGAATGGAAATAAAAGATTCCATACTTCTATAGAGATGGAATGTCTTGAACCAAATAAATATTTTATTATTTTTTTGGAAGAGGAAAAATTTCTAGTATTATTAAAATACTTCCAATGATAAAAAAAATGAGGTCGCTGAAAGATTTAATTACAAAACACAATTTACAGGCCTCATATGTCACTTTACTACTCTAATATTAAGTATGAACATGTACAATACTTTCAGTGCTACTGCATTATTTACAGTGTTTGATTTTTATAGAAAAAAAAACCCTGATAGCATGACTGGAAGGAACTGAAAAGGTAATCTGAATTTAGAAAACAATTTATGGTTTCTGGCCATCGCAGGTGAAAGGCCAGTATCTGAGTAAACAAAGTGTGATCCCTACAGGACTGTTGGGCAGTAATAGTTACATTCAGTGCTCTGTTTAATTAAAGTTTATTTTTTAAAAAAGCTTATGTATTTTTATGCTTATGGTTATATGGCAATATGCAAAAGTGAACAAGACAGTCTCTGACTAGAAAAATGTAAAAGTTTTGTAAGAAAACCCATCTTCTTGTTTTACCAGCTAATAACTGCTTTTGTCTCACCCCACACTGTTTCTAGTGTTTTCTTGGCAGTTTAAAAGCACAGTTTTTGAAAGGGACATAGAATTGTCTTCCTAAACATTGGCAAGCTGACTTCCTTTGGTGTTTGATCTCTGAGGGACACCTCATTGGTTTGCAGAGCTTGGTGGATTCCCGGAATTCTTAACAAAAGATCAAGTGCTACTAGCAACACTATTTTATACTACTTCTTACTGGATCCTTACCCTTTATTCTAGCATGAAAACAGAACTGGGAACTAGAAATATGACAACACCATGACTTCAAAAGATTTTCCTGTACTTCAGCTGTTTTATTTTACTAAATATATGCATCTATACATCTAAATAAACAACATCAACACCACTGTCCTCCATTTCTTTTCTGTGTCTTAAGTCATGGGCCAGACATGTTTATCAAAGACACATGGTGGGTCAGGAACAGTACAGTTACATATAACTTCTCCTTTTTCATTGATTGCACTGACTTATGATAAAATTGCAAGATACCACGGACTTCAGCTAATTCACCTGTCTTGCCGTAAAAGCAAGGCTTACAAACAAAAAAACAAAAGCAAATTAAAAAACCCCATTTTTTTCTCCCTAGAGGACTTTATCCCTTTCCTATTTAGCAAACCTTCTATTTTTCTGTTTAAATTAGCATTTTTAAAGTAGTTACAAGATTTTTCTCTTACAACATGTTTTTGCATATCAGAACAAAACCCTTTTATTTTAAGTAGTTGCCACAAAAAATGGGGACAGATTAATAAATGTCTACATAACAAACAAACAACTGATAGTTAAAATTCAGAAGACATTTCCTATGAGACTGTGCACAGTAGAATAACTAATTTGTGTGAGGTGAAGGAACAGGCGTATTAGTATTTTCAAAATGGCACACTATCAAACAAGAGGACAACACTACTGCTACAAAATGCAAGGAAGAATAATATGCATTTTAAACTCCATTGACTCTCCAAACATGGAGAACACAGACAAAGAGTAGTATCTATAGAGTGCCTTGTTTATTGGTGATCTGTGACAAGGCCACTCTGAGAGTTTCTGCTCTACAGAAAAAAACAGTAAAACGGCTTACTGATTACACCATCCATCTGACCTACAGTAACAGCTGTGAAGTAGTACCTAATAACATCCATAGATCCTATCTTGGGAGTCAGGGAGCCTGAACAGTACTGGTTGGGGACAGAAGCAGTGGCAGGTGTCCTTGCTACTATAATCTCCAGATTTTGCAATGGCACATTTTAATCATAAGACGACCATTCTGAAAAGTCCTAACTCTCTAATGCAGGTCTAAGAAACCAAAACAATAATTTCCAAGATACATGACTCATATTGCTTTGCAGTTAGCGCTCAGTTAACTCCTGAGTGTGTGAACTGACAGTCTTCAGTTTGTTTTCACACATGTACCAACAAGTGTAAAAAATAAATAAATCTCAATCTAGGAGTTCTGAGGAGAAAATGTCTAGGGGGAGGCATGGAACACTGGTTGAAGACAAAATTACAAACAAAAGGATGTATCCTATGATGTATCATTAGTTTGGTTCAGGACAGCAAAAATCACTCATCTTCCCTTTCCAGAAAGGAACTAACACATACAAGGGATTAGTTCATTAAACTGCTTGTAATTAACACTCAGATCCTGAGATGGAAAATACAACAAATTGCTACAGTTTCCTTGTGGTGCTAGAATAAATGTCCTAGAGTGATGAGATCCATAGTTCTACAATGAAATATAGAATACTGGCAAATTATATTCCACTTACACTGACTATATGTTTCCTATAACATCTAATTAATAAAGCATGTTAAAATAATGAAATTTAAATATTGCATTCTGTATTTTTATGTAAACACTGGCACTCAGCAACATCTGAAAGACCCTTTGAAGACACTCTGTAACTTGTGGCACATTTTTCCTTGTTTCCTATAGAAACAAGCCTACAACATTAGTCTGTCCGCACACCTCTGATCCAACAGAGCAGTAATCTTGCAGACAAATACAGTTAACAGGCTCAAAATGCAACAGGTAAAAGACAGTTAAGTGTTACGAAAAACAAGCAATCATGATTAGGACAGTCCTAAAAACAAAAACCCACAGATCCTATCTGATGTGGACCCCAGAAACGGAAAATCTTAATCTGGTATTTGCAGGTCCAAAGTCAGTCACAAATCAGAAATCCAGAAGAAATTAGACTGTCTTCTTCCCAGATTGACACTGAATGGTAAGGAAGATGAACTGGAACGTGGGATGGAAAAAAGATGAGACAACATTTTGTTGAATCATCTAAGCGTATACAGACACAGTGCTGCTGAGATTACAACACTGCCAGCTTGGATGCCACTTACGGAATTCACAGGGATGTTTTTAGCACTGCCACAATCCAATGTGAAATGTAAATATCAAGCAAAAAATATATACGAGATTTTAACTCATTCCCAATAAATTACCATAAATCTCTCTGTCTAAAGAATACTTCATACTTTTTTCAAAGTGCAAAGACTTCCAAGCCCAAAATCTGAGTCAAGTACAGCATTCTTCTGTTTAAGTAAATTTCAGATAGCAGTCACAAATAACAAGACATATCTTGTTTCCTCCATTTCACAACACTTTTAACTGAAACACATGCAGGGAATGTGACTCTGAAGACAATGAATTTTGATTGTAGAATAACAGTGAAAAATTTAGATTGCAAATAATGTTTTAACAATCAGTGATGGCAGTTTTACACTTCTGAACCACTGCTCACTGTAGTATCTGTACAGTAAAGTCCTTTAATGCTGTTGAAATCCACCACTGTAACTGCTAATTGGTTCTTAGGGTCAGAATGTACATACCTAAATTTATCCCCAGATGACACCACATTACTGTTACTCTACAGAGACTTGGCAAAGCATGACACTGAAAAAGTAACTGCTGCCCTATGTAATTCTTAAAATAAGCAATTTCAATCTTACATATTTAATGTTCTCGGAAAAAAAAAAATCAGTAGTAACTACTACACCAAATTAAGGAAATGATTTCTGGCATGTTTTAACAAATTTATTTCTTGTTGTAAGTGAAGTTAATACTGGCACAGTGTTAGGGTTTTTTATTTTAAAGATATATTAAAATTCCCAAACAATATGAAATTGGTTAGGAGCTTAAACTACTGAAATAATCCATTAAATATTTAAAAGGAAAAAAAAAAAATTGTAAGTTGACAGCACCATACCTGTGCCCTTGCATGAACTTCCCCAAGGAGACCAGAGTACTGCTGCTCCAGATACTTTTTCTGTTCCTGCCAACAGCTTTCCTGTGCTTTCATCTGTTCAGCCATTTTGCTAAAAGCATCTTCCTGGCTCTGCTGAAGCTCCTTCATAGAATTGGACTTGTTCTTACAAACATATTCTAGGTGGGATATCTGTGTGACAAGTATTTAAAAATAAATTCTTTTACCTCTCAAAATACCTTTTTGCTTTAATTGTACATACTAATTTAAGCACAAACTATTTCAGCATAAAATCTGAATTGTAATTTCTTCAACATACTTATTAAAACTAAGTAAATGCCTTTCATGACAGATTACTTACTTGAATCTTACAACAAAACTGAAACATATTTTGGAATAATGAGTTTTCCTAGGTTTCAGTTTTGCCATCCTTATACCACCTTACAGATATTTCTTGCCACCTTTGTTGGAAACCTGAATTGGACATTCCCCTTTCTTCCTTTTTTTTTTTTTTTTTTTTTTTTTGAAACAAACGCATTAAATCTTGTGCTGCAAAACTAGTAATCTGAGTATACCAGTCCTTTAGCAGTTTGCAAGGATTGCAAGTAATAATGAAAATCCAGCCCTACATTTTCCTTTTTTTTTTTTTTTTCCAGTGGAAAGCAAAGACATTCCATATATTTGGTATTAAAATACTGTCAGGAAATTTTAGCATACAGAATGTTTTTCTCACAAGTAGCTCATTAGCTTATGATGTGTTTTTAACAAGCATGAATGTATTCACTCTGTGGTTTAACTTTACAGCTCCCATGCAAACTAATCAGAGGAACAAAGCAAGCTAACAATGACCTCTAAATACACATGCCTACACTTTGCTACTAGAGAATATCTGCAAGACACCTTCCAAATAGATCACAAAAAAATTAAAAATAAGTTTGTTCTCAGAAAGCAGGTACAATACAGCTAAAAAATCTTTGAAAACTGGCCCAAATCTTTGAAAAGCTAGCAAGTATGTGGAAAGAGCCCTAGTGACCCCATAATCAATCTCAATGACCATATTAAATAAGAAAGCAAGAAAGAGTAAGACACAATCCCCCCCAAACACTGCCAACAGTGTTTGATCCCCTCCCTTCCATTCTCTTTCCTCCCCCACTTCAAAAGGAAAACAGAAATGTTCATACAACCTGCATAATCCAGATTTTATACTATCCCTCTCTAGTAATTTCCATTAACTGATGGTACATTTACTAAATGATGGGCAGCATCAAAACAATTCACTGTAACCAGCCCTGTCCTTTACTTGGCCAGAACACTGGTCACAATTCCAACAGATGAGAAACATGTGGAAGAGCTTTTCCCTTCCTATGCCTCAAGAACAGAGTATCAGGGCAGTCGGGATCTGGAGTTACTTTATTAGACTGTAGGACTGGCCTGATCAACAGAGCCAAAGCATGAACTTAAATCCCAAAGAGTGGCATATGTTAGCTAGCCTGTGAAGCCTGTTTCAGTTATTTAAAAAGAGGTCTTTTCTTTCCTAAAAATGCAGGGATTTCTGGGAAGAAAGGCCACATAAGCTAATTCACATCAAAATCATTCAGAGAAATACAGCTTTGCCCTTGAACAAATATTGACAGGTTTTATAAAACAAGTATTGCATTTCTGAATACAAATTTCATAATCCAAAAGTTGCAATAAATAAGAAAAAAAAAAATCACACTGGCATTTTTTCAGACAGTACCTCTGAATCATAAACATATAATTTAAAGGTTATGTTCTTGGAGTAAGTGCATTTTGTTTCGTTTCTATGCTAAAATAAAGACTTGCTTTATTAGTGTAAATGACTAAGTTCTTTGAATGGCTTCATCAGTAAGATTAATTTATTTTCTTTTAATTAGGTCCCTGTGGCTAATATTGGCTAGTACTATTAGCATGTCCTGCACAGAAAATGGAGCTTAGAGACTTCATACAGACTTCAGTCACATTTACATGCCCATAGCAATGGCATCAAACTGAGTTGTAGACAAGCCATAATTAATGGTATTGAATTATTAACATCCAAATTCTTTTTGAAATAAGATGAATGTCAGTCCTTTTTAATGATACTGTGATGTGGACAAATGTCACTGAATTTAATAGAGGTAGCTGATGCCTAAGGACACTTACCTTCTCATTAGCCCTGTTGAGGTCTAAGATCAGGGCATCAACATTCTCCTGCAAGACTGCACAAAGCTCAGACCAAGAGAATCTATCTAGGATGCCTTCTGGTTGTTTTATAAGCACACAGCCTGCTACCAAATGCTGGTATAAACTATGGAGGAAGGTTAGCTTCTCCTGAGACAAAAAGAAAAATTAACTGTTGTATCTGAACAGTGTTAGAATCCAAAGAGATGCATCATATGTGTAGTAATGTGAGCTGCATGCAACTGAAAGAAAAAACATAGAGCTCATTCTCAAACCTTTTCAAAATTTCTCAATTCCTTGTTAATATATTTGCAGTCACACATACTAAAGCCAGAGTAAGAAAAGAGTTTTTACAAAATTTGTCTAATTAGACATAGTATATAAATACAGTAAGCCCAGTCTTGCAGTGGTCACAATCATGACCTGATACAGATAAAAATTTCCATGCTATTAGTAGATGCAATTTAATCATTTGTGTTAACACTTTCAGGTATGTGCAAATTGTACTCACTTCTACACAGCACGCAGAAAATTGTCTGACTGGCTTGGCAGCACAACACTGTTTATACAACTATCACTCTGAAGTCTTAAAAATTGCTTTCGCGTGGATTATGTGTGACTAAATAGCTAGACAATAGGCTTATAGCTTCATCAGTTAAATTCTACAAGCCATGCCTCATTCATTTACACTGTCAGTCAGTAGTATAATAAATTGATGTAAGTTATAAATAAACTTTAGCAATAATAGCACGCAACAGAAATTCCAGCCTTCATCCTTTTAGTACCTATATGTAGCTTAGCAACTTCGATTAAGACAATAATAAAAAGCTGCACCTCAAAAGCCACAAGTAACAGAGCCTTTATTCCAAATCAGTAAACCATTGTAAAGGTTCCCACTGTTTTCCAGGGGCCTTGGATGAGGCTTTACATCAAGAAATTGGGGATGGCTGAGATGGGGAACTATGTGTTTTCTGAGACATTTCCATTATACTTAGGTGCATTTTCTCACGATTATTTCATGGTACTTTAGGCAAACAAAATTTGCAATTTAGTTTGTTTCTAGCAGATCCCCTAATTCCCCAAGGAAAACAGTCTGCCACCATCAATACATTCTTGCTTGAGCTGTGATAAACCAAGGATAATTATCTATTTGGTGTTAAAAAAGGGATCCCAAGACCCAAAATCAATTCACACATGTTGAATCCAACCACACTGTTGTAGACATGCTGACTTTACAATATAGCCAGACTTCTAGTTTCCTTCACTTTAATCATTATCTGATGTGTGTAACAAATCCAGCTGCTTCATGTGGACACTATTTAAATACCAGACTGTAAGAGAGGTGGAAAGAATGTTTCCTTTTTACTCAGTTGGCATCCATGTCCAAATTTGTGGAAGTAATAAGCTCAATATGCACAACAACTATGATAAAGAATATCATTGCTATTGCTAGTACATAAGTGCTTTATTGGGAGCAAAAACCAACAAAATTAACATCTGTAAACAAATATAAGGAGAAAGATAATAGTTCTGAAATAAGACTTTGTGCAGCAATTCCCATATATAGCACAGCACAATGAGCTAACAGGTCACATATAAGAATTTCTAGGTCTTGTGGCACACAGGCAAAACTACCTCAATTCCACATTTGTTATCTATCAATTGCCAGGTGAATCAGTAATTAACAACATATGATGATGATGCTATTGTATGTTCCAATTGTAAATGATTTTTGTTAACTTTTGATCTGAAAGAAAGAAATAACTGTTCATAGGTGTAGCTCTTTAAATAAACTCAGTTGTTCAAAAATGTAAAATACCAGAAGGGTTACAAGGAACGAGAACCAATATACCCTGAGATCTTTTAGATATTAAATACATATTTCAAAATTCGTATCTTAAAATCATATTTGGGGGATAAATCTGTTAAGCCTAAGAGTAACCACCTGATGTATGTAAATGAATAAAGTTGAGATTAAATAAAGACTCTTTTTGACAGTCATCTTGCCTCTGGTAATACCTCCATATCCTTCTGGTAAGCCCTGGTAAGCTTCTGGATTTCATTTTCAGATTCTGTGGCACGTACTTTCTCCTTCTCCCAACACTCCCGTACATTCTGTAGTTCCATTTTTAAAGTTCCTATTAAAGTCCCTCTGTCTGCACACTTAGTGTGCAGATGATTTAACTCTTTATTGGCAACAGCCAGGTTATCCTGAGCTTCCTGTAGAACAGAGGCATAGAACAGAAAGGCTGGTAAGAATTTTACTCTACAAAATATTACCTTAATCCAGTGCTCAGCATCTGAAGAAGTAAACAGTCATACAGCCACATATGTTCAAAAGACTCCAGGCTAAGTTGACTGTATCTTATCAATAACAGAATTTCAAAATTGACAACAGTCCTTCTCCACAGCTTGTAACTAGATGGCATCAAAAATCCACCTCTGAGCGTTAAAAACTCCATGATGCAGTGACCTTCAGAGTCCCCTCTACCCCCACAACTGAGAACGCATAGACACAAATTATCCTCTGCAGTTTGGAGACCTCTCAGAGCTAGTGAAAAGATACATTATTTTTGTGAGTAAATCTCTGATCCGTTACAGCTGAGTTGGTAGGCAAAACAGACAGCTGTTGTTACCCACTGAATTCTTTATCTGCATGATAAAAAAACATGAGGACTCTTCTTTGGAAGTCTGACCATCAGAAGAAACTAATAACCAGAAATGGTCATAAATATAATCATTATGTTACCAGTACCAAATCTCACAAGGTAAACAAAGAACTTAATACCCCACCCTTTTTCAGCCAAAGGATTGCTGAGATGGAGTGGACAGATGCACATGCCTTCCTCTTCTACAAGCACTGGCCTTTCAGCACTGCTAAAGTTTACCAAAGGTCAAACTGAAAGCACTGTTTGTTTTTCATAAAATCATAGCTGATTATATAGCAAATATAATAGGAAAGATACTCCCAAATTCATCAATGATAACTTTTATTCTTCCTAATGAAAATATTAAAATATTAAAGCAACATTAAGTATCTAGCACAAATGTTTTCAGACTGGATCTAGTTTTCACGCATATATACAATTTTATTACCAAAAATTTAAAGAGATCAGAAACTGGTGTACTGCACAAAAACCAGCACCATCTGTGTACAGCAAACTCAGTTTTTGCATGAAGAATACAAGCACATGTTGCAATGGGTTGCAAAATTTTTAGGTGCCTTACAAAGATGCTGCAAGAGCAACAGAAGTCTTGAGTCTTCTGAACATAAATTAGTAAAGGAAGTTCAGATCAGATGACAGATCATGTGCAAATATCAATAAATATGAAGATTTGATGAGTGTTGCAGAAGTATCTGTAACTAAACCAAAGTGATAAAGCAGCACATCCCCAACAAAAGAATCTAAGAAACACTGGGAGCAGAGACATTCTATTTTGGCAGTAATATAATACACCGCCAGTTGGGAGATTAAGTTTAACCATGACCTCAAGACTTCCTCACTCCCTTGGCCACTGATGTAACCAGACGGGACATTACAAAAATGGTGTGTCAGCCAAAAACAGAGACAAAAAAAATTCTTGTTCAGAAACTAAAAGAGTTCTCAAGTGTTTTTCTCAATTCCCAGGTAGATTTTAATCTAAGGAATTTTGGGCTGCACATTGTGCAACTGTTAAGGCTGATCTGATGCTTCATACATGCATTAACTTGTCTGATAAACACAAACAGTAAAAAATTAACAAAGGAAAGGACATCTTTAATAAAATGGGCTTTCATATGAACAGAGGTAATTAAAATCTCTTACAAAAAACAGTTAAGGGAAAAATAATTACTGATGCTGATTTCAATATAAAACAAAACTTTGCAAATTGATAAATCTATTTCAAATTATTTCAAAAGTGCAATCACTGAAATGATCAGTTATGTAGTCTAAGATGGTAAACAGAATAAAGCAGCATGGCTTCACACAAGCTTGCAAGGTAAACTAGTCTGCTCAACAGAATACAATGATACAGAGAATTATTCTGATAAAACAAAAAAAGATACCTTAAATCCAGAAAGATATTTTTGCAGAGCTTTCGAATTTTATGTTAAGTTCATTAAACCATACCTTAAGGTCTTGACTTAAAGCACACGTTTTCTCTTTGGATATCTCAAGTTCTTTTGTCATCTTTTCACACAAAGCCTTCATTTTCTCAAGCTGTATAAAATACGGAGGTCAAACAGGCTTTTACAGAAAGGCTACAAAATCACTTCAACATAAAGAAAGAATTTTGCAATTAAATGTAAAAAAAACCCATTGTTTTCAATTCATTTGACAATATTCATACTCCATACAGTCTAAATAACGGGCCATTACGAAAGCACTAAATACCTCTTTTATAATGACTTAAGAGCAGTGCTAGAATCCCAAACTGAGTCCACTACTAACTTGCCCATTAACACTCAAAATAACTGACACAGACTTTGAAACGTATTTGAAAATGTAATAAATTCAGATTATGACCTCAGAAATTATTTAAGAAAGTAAGTTTTCAACGTCAGTGGCCATCTGCAGAAATTGTCCAGCTATGAACATGATCTCTACTTTTTACTGAGTGCTGGGTAGTACTCACATATCCATAAAAAGCAGTAATGTTTCCAAGACGCGTGATGACTACTGAACTGTTTGTGGTGTTACAAGCAACCTTCTTAGAGGTAGCTCATGACCATAATATATAATAGCTTCGCTCTCCACTTTCAGAAGAGATAACAAGACATCACTATAACCTGTATCTTTGGTTACCTGATGATGAGGTTAGCAATACAGGTGTCTGAAAGAAGGTATTGAATAGAAATGCATTATAGTGCAGGCTACTGCTGGCACTTGAGCATTAAGGAGCAACTCCGAAGTAAGATACCCCATTTACAAAATTTACAAATTACTCTGGAAATTATATTTTTGTTTGATCTCACATCAGGAGACCTGGCAGAACCCTTAGAAATTATTACAGTAAATTACAGAATGCTACTGGAATATTTCCAGTCTTTTTGTTAGTTTACTAGCCTTCTTTCTCTCCTCAGACATATTCTAGACTCTGCACTATACAGAAAGCCAAAAACTTGTTATCTGTCAAAAACAAAACACTTACACACCTTTCAGTCACACAAATGAACTAGATCGCTTAATCTAATGTTTAACACGGTAAGTTAAAGGTGACAGATGACATGCTTACCACTATATTTCACTTAAACATACAGGTGTACACATACACTAATAACTCCATCGATGTGTGGGGTCTTTTGAAAATCTCTTTATAGAAAGAACCACTGCATAATTACTCAAAACTAAACCCTTACTGCTGTATATTAAAACATCCTGGTTTTATTGCACAGTGCCCTTCATAGTCCCTTTGTGCATTATTGTATTATTAAAAAGTTTTATTACTAAACATATCTAATATATAAAAAGCCAAAAGCGGCGTTATCTATAGGGGAGGGGGTAATCAAGAAGGACAGAGCATTGCCCTTTCTGTGCATCATGAAGGTGCTCAGTGATCTCTGGCTCCATACGACAACTTCAGGGTCAGTCACACGCAGTCCTACTGGGAAGTATTGTGGCAGGTCATCTGTTGGTCCTGCTCTGCTTGCGATTTATTTTCCTTGACAGTTCATTCTTCTTTCTGTCAGAATACTCTCTTTGCTTTCTTAGCAGCCACCCCCTTGGTCTCCCCACTGCTGTCTCTGGCACAGTTTCACAACAAAGCACATCACTAAGCCAAAGCCTGCTGAGTCGACTTTTCAACTGTACTGCCTGTCACGTGACATTCCTCCTCCCAAATAACAATTCGCTGTGGGTAATATGTTCCTAGTTACTCTGCAGCTTCCAGACTTGGGTCTCAGAAGAGTTTCATAATGACTATACACATTGGTTCTCTTATCTCACTGGGAGAGACCTAACAGTGCTTGCTGTTTACAAAAGTATAATTGTTTCCATGGCCGCTTATTTTTGCGCCCGTTGAACAAACTCAAAGGTCTTGCAGGACACCATTCTTTTCCCAATAAAAGGGGCAAAGCCGATACACTATCTTCTGAGGTTTTCGGGGGGGTTGTTTTTGTTTTTGTTTTTTTTTTTTTTTTTTAAAAAATGTGAGTGACTAGCTAGACTATGTATTTGTCAAAACAAAAGACAAAACCTAGGAATGAAAAAACAGCACTGCCATTTCTACAATCTTATAACACTCTGCCTTTCTGTATTTGCCAATTTTATCCAAAGACAAGCTAATTACAGGTTTGTACAGAAAGCTTTAACTGTGCAGTTACCTTCTTTCTAAAGCCTTTAAAGCCACAAATTCATAAAACATTTATACCCCAGAGGATTAATTTAATCACGTTAGCAATATAAATGAGAAAATAAATGCAGGATTGTTATTTTTCAATCAATGAAATAATAGGCTAGTAGGACTGCACGGAAAACATCTGATTTTTTTTTCAAGGGTAAGATTCACAAAATTGAAATACTTCCATTATTGTCTTAGATAACTTAAAAAAAGTATTATTGTAGTCCTATTTTACCTGAAAAGACCTTAAAACAGCACCAAGAGACTTCATCATAAACACACTCATCCCATAAGAAATTATGCCACTTTTTAAATGTACAAGGGCATGCACATTTACATAACCAATACCAATGACTGCTGAGGCTCAGGTTTTGCATATTTAGGAATATTGCAGTATACATTGTTGAACTCTTAAATCACCACCTTTTAACTGAAATCCTAGATATGAATGCCTCATTTTCCTGAAAGTTTCTTGAAAATAATAAACCCTGCAGGTTTAATAAGAAAACAGAAACAAATTAAACTAAAAAGAAAAAAACTCTTCTCCCTGTCCCCTTCAATGTAAGTGAAACTATACTGTAGGGCAAGCTCAGAGAAATAGAAGTGACAGAGATTATTTCTTTAGGTATACGTAAAGCTGTCAACTCAACATTCCCACTTTTCTGACCTTTTTTACAAGCAAAGCGTATGTACTGCTGCAGGCCGAAGGCAATACATATAGAGCCAAAGAGTGCAAGTGTTACCTCATTAGACATATCTTCCAGCTCATTCTGGTAAGCTGTCAAGGTACACCTCAAAGTCTCAAGGACAGAGAGACTCAGAGGTTTATCTTTGTCCTTAAAAGTGCCTGAAGAAAAATACAGAATAAAAATTAAGCCTTAAAGCCACAGAGAGAAAACTACACACCCTGGATGAGAGGTATTAAAATTAGTTAGGGCTTCGGTGACAATACAAAACACTGAACAGCAGCCTTGTTTGCCACAAGAGATGCAGCCGAACAGCCATACTTTCACAGCAAATACAGCTGAAAAACACTTGTATTAAAGCTTTAATACAAGATACAGAACTGTACATTCACGATTATATTTCTACCTAATGTACTTGGTATGCAGTCTTGCATGTAATTTCTAGTGTGGTCAAGTCTGTGTCACTCAGTCAGACCAGCCAACTTTAAAACCACACAATAACATGCTTTGAAAAACATGTTCCCTGAAAGTTAAGCATGTTACACTTTTCCTGACATTATTTTGCTGTTGTGACTAAGCATGCATGTTATAATGTAGTACTTCATTTACTCAAAGTTTTACTAAGCCAAAGATCACATGACTATATTATGCTTGGAAAGGTCTTACAAACCTTTTAAATGATCTTGAATTTCATTCCAAAGGAAATAATAAAAAAAAATTATTATCTGTCTGCAGAGTCCTACATAACGTTTCAATTATAAATCTTAAAGCTGATAAATCCATTATGTACACACTACACTTATTTATTAAACCTTTAGACAGAGACTTCTGATCTGGTTGCCTTAATTAGAGACATATGAACAAGTTCGAACGTTCCAAAGCCCGTAGTACAATGTGCTAAGAAAGCAAAACAACACTGTATTGATCAAGAGGTCACAAGATGTCAGCTGATATTAAATTTCTAAGAACAAACTATTCATTTTTTTCTGGTGTTAGAGAGAAATACCAGGTTATTGACAGATTATTCTTCTCACTTCAATTTATATTGGTACGTAGCATTTATAAATTTATTTTGTAACAAATCATAGTATCATCTTTTCCACAAGTCTTAACATGTTCTATAAGCAAAACTAACTTTACCAACACTAATAGCATCCTTATTTTGCAAAAGAAGTGAAAAAAATCTGTGGCATTTGAATTCCAGAGAGGCTAAACAATCATAACTCCCAGCAGAACTAAATGATGATACAGGTATTTATCACCCCTGAAAGGTCAGTGTCACTAAGCAATTTACCTAAGGTGGCTCATAAAGTCAAATCAGATACTAAACTCTAAGCCTTTTCTTTGTCTCTCCAAAAAACTTTATCAGCTAGAAGAGATGCACTTACAGACTTGCAGGTTGGGAATTTTTAAAAAATCCTATGGTTAGTGTTATCTAATGAGCATAATATTCTATTCAAAGCATTATACAAAAATGATAGATTTGTCCTGTAGGCCATACATAATGCACCAATGGTAGTCAGCGGAAAACTTACACACATGCACAAGTCAGAAAGCATTGCCAACAGCCATTCTGAAAATTTTTCAATTAATTAGCCTCTTCTCTCCCAACCTTCTGATAATACCATAAAATGTACAGTACTATTCAGATCAGACACTAACTTTTCACTTTGACTTGCCAGCCAACTGTTACTGTCAAAGTCACATCTACTCAAACCAATGCAGCCTTTCAAGATTTCTTTCAGTAAAAGGACCAAGATCGTCTCTACAGCACCCAAGTGAATTTAAAAAGAACGCAAGTCCCAGTGACAGACTTCTGCTCTGTGTTATCAGCAGTCCCACTCCAGTTGACACCTACTTACCACAGTTTCTAAAGGTCTACAGCATCAGGGAAAAGTTCAATCTTCTTAATGAGGCTCCAGTGCCCTTAACCAAACCTTAGAGTCCTAGAGGTGTCCCAGATAGCAATGTTACACTTAGGATCAACCTAAGAAAGAATTGGTAAGATCTGGCCTTTTGTGAGACATTTCGATTTCACATTTAAGAAGGAGACTTGTAACACCTTATTATCATTTTCATCACTTCACCACAGCTCTAGTTAAGGATGCACAGGGCTCCAGTCCTTCCTTCTCAATTACAAGAGTGACTTCTTACTATTATCCACTGTAGGAATATTTTGCAGTGATCTTGTTGCACAGACAAAATTAAAGTACTACTCTTCCATACTTCTAGCTCTAGAAAAGTTGTAACTCACCATTTTCATTCATTTTAAAGTAGTAACTGTTAACTCAATCTAGAAGTTGTCTCCAATGCCATGGTTTTCATCCAGTTGTCTAAATAAAGTATCTTCATTTCTAAAGTTCTAATCTGCAATGCCATCACCGAAACATGATTCTGAACTATCTTAATTTACATCACGTTTGCCAAAATCAGACTTTTGTCAGTAAACTTTCCATGCTGGCATTCCGTGCCTTTGCTGCAACCCTATTTTCTAGGCTGCCCAGTCTGCCAACAGAAATACCAGATTCCACCTTACTGCACTTGCTGAAAACAAGCCTATGTCTTTAATACTGGCCCAGCAGTAATTGTCTTCATACAACTATGAAGGAAACATGCAGTGTAATACAAATGGCACTCTTGCTGAAGAGGCCCTACTTCAACAGTGAGGAAAAAGAGAAAACAAACCAAAACACAATACTTGAAGCATTTGCCCAGTATCACATATGAGTTTAGGGGAAGAATTTTGGGAAAATGCCAGGTTCAATAGGATTCTGATAAGAGGTATACAAAACTCTTAAACCTGCAGCTTCACAATTTCTATCAATAGTACTGGGCCTGGCTAGGATACAGTTAATTTTCTTCATATCAGCTCACATGGTGCTGTGGTTTAGATTTTTGAGCAAAACAGTACCGGTGGCCTGCATTAAACAGTGACATTAACTCAAAGCGGATAACACTCTGAGCATTTTATACCCAGTTCACTTTTTATTCAGATTATTACAATCACTTTTTTTTTTTTTTTTCCGGAAATGAAGGCAAACTTCCCTGAGCACAAACCCTGTTGCTAAACTACTGCAAAATATGATAAAATGAATAGGAACAAACTGAAATCATGCAAATTTACCAGCAACACCATCAATGCTGGTGAAAACTTATAAAGGTTGCTCAAAAAGGAGATGTGGATTTATGCTTGTTATTTGGAATGTATAAAGAAAAGAATAACTTTTTTAAATACTATAGCTTTTAGTCTTAAAAATATAAAATCTTATCTTCTTTTTCCTGTGCAGCCCAATAATCACAGCCCAATCAGCACTTAAATGAAGGGACTGGACCTTTAATACTGACAGATTTTTAAGTAGATCTCTCAACCACTTGAGTTGAAAGTTAAAAACAAAAAGAAGAAAAATTGCCCAGCCAGCTGTGGCTTGTAGTCCTTTATCTACTAATTAGACTACAAAGATTTATTTAAGATTTTTATTTTTATTGCCATCTAGGTATTCCCATTTCAAATACGATTACACTAAATGTTTTTCTGAAAATTGAAAGAAATAGTTACATAATAAATTCATAAGTAAAACACAATAAAGCAATAGCATTAAGAAATTGAGTTTCATGCTCAGAAGCAAGGTAAATATGGGGAACAAACGTCTTAGTCAATGTCCATTTTAATATTAGACATAAAGACTAAATCCGCAGCAGAGCTAACTTTGACTTTCTGCCTTGACTGAGCCTCAGAAGAGATAGTGAAGCTTAAAGAAAGTATCTCTTTAAATAAGAGCTTTCAAAGTTTACCTTAAACAATGCAAATTAATACTGAAGTTACAGTTATGGAATCCCTAATAATATATAACAGGTCAAAGCTGTTCTCTGCAATGTTTACCACTTGAGAGAACAGAAAACCTACCCAAAAGACAATTACTGCTTTGGAAATTGCACTTTAGCATCAGCATCCAGCTCCCCCCAGAATTGCTGAAGCCCCTCTGGTCATGTGGAACTTTGCAAGATTGAAGAAAACATACAGTTTTGAAGAGCTTCTCAGTCTGACGTATCCACAGTAAAACTACAGTTACTACCCACAGGAATTACCTTTATAATTACAGAATAAAATTGTTATCAGTTCCCAAATAAAAAAATCACATAGCCCATGTGAGGAAATCAGTGCATCACAGATTTGAGGCTAGGCTTTTAAGGGCAAGAGAAATCTCAAGTAGCACCTTTCTTCAATTTTAACAGAACCAGGCCCTAAAAACCTAAAGATACAAAAGATTCTAAAGATACAAAAAAATGCACCTTCATTCAAAAGTGTTATACAACCCATTCATGTCTACTGTTGGTAAAATGTACAGAAACATGTCATCCCAATTGAAATAAAATAAACTCATTTGCTCTTTAAGCAACATTTTGTCTGTTTTCTTCCAGTTTATTTGCACTGCAAGTTGGAAGCATTTTGTGTCTAGTATGTGATTTTCTAACAGGAACCACACAGAGAAAACTTTTATAGATAGTTTTAAATATGTACTTTAAAAAGTATACTGTTTTCATTTTTTAAAAGATTAGTAGCTTTGATGTTAAAATTCAGCTTATGTTTGCCACTATTTCAAATGTTTAAACAGGCAACAGTTTACTGAGTTTGACACACAGTAATTACATATAAAGCTAGATAGCAGAGTGATAGCCACTGACTTACATTTTATTTTAACGAAAACAGAGTAATATTTGTTCTGTATTAGATGAAATGAATGCAATATAGTACTAGTCCACAACCAACGGTAAAAAGTATTGTGTTGTATCATGTGTCCTACACAACCTTTTTGAATATATGACCTTTAAGTTGCTGAAGGTTGCCTCAGAATTTGGCTCAGTTCAGGCAAAACATCTGTTCCCTTTGCAGGTATACTGTAAGGACTTTTTTCTCAGTTGGATTTAGAGCACAGCAAGTGAGCCCTTTTCTGACCGATCATATACACCCCAGCATTTGTAAATCAAGCTCTGGGCTGACAACAGCAGGTCCACATTCCGTCACCCTTTCTCAGCTAGCAAGGCCATTTGACTGCTGTGAGAACTGCTCTTATCATGTCATCAAATCAAAGCATGTTGAGAAGAGGGAATGCAAAAGGCATCTGCAGAATTCCCACAATGTAGTGACTTTGGAACATTGACAGATGCATCTGTCATTTTATACCTTCAACTAACCTGCTGTCCGCTGGCCTGACATAGCAAAGCTGTCCAAGAGTAACTCCAGCTCTCTCATGTTGTTTTCATACGTCTCTGTTAGAAAGACCTGGTGTTTCTTGGCCTTTATTTGACAGGAGATACAGACAAGACAAGAGGGGGAAAAAAGAAACCCATTAAAATAGTACGCAGAAGAAATACAGATCACAGTGGTATATTTGCTCCACTTTAAGTTTAAATTCTTGCTATATTTCTTATTACTCCTCTTCTTGAGCCAAGAAACATAACATAACATCACAAATAAGTAACACAGAACCCTGAAACGCACTTAAAATAGAACTAAAAGCTTCAGGTAGTCAAAGGAAAAATTAAAAATGGTTGTATTAAAACCTAGTCTTGTTCTTTTGCTGCTTTAAAAATACCTTAAAGAACATTAATTAACTGCTGCCCACATATGCAAGCAATTAAATCTATTGTTACACCCTACAAGGGCATCCAGAAAGGCACCAAACTACTGGCAGACAGGCTAGAAATTCATGGTCTGGCACTCAGTCAAATCCCACACCTATTCTCATTGCAGATCTGCCTACTTTAATTGTTAGTATCTTCCATGCTTGATAATGATTCCTTCAGCATCAAAAACTCCTCCTTAACACACGGAATATAAACCAGCAGAGTCCTTCAGATTCTGTCACTGATTTTCTTAAAAGAAGCTGATTGCCAAGTGCAGTCTATTGTTCAAATCAAGACACTGGCTTTATTCTGAGGGCAGAACGATATTACAGCAGATTTTTTAATCACTATAATAGAGAGACTATATCAAATCATTCATTGAATTTGTATCTGATATTAGAACTTGCAGTTTTCAAAGACATGCATCCATAATTTCAGACAAGATCAAGATCTTCTTGGACATACGTAGTTCTGAGTTAGCAAAGAAATGTACTATTTTAGTAGCTGACTGACAAAAAGTAATACATTTCAGCAGTTCAGGGAAAAAAAACAAACAAACAAATAAACAACACCAGACCCAAATCCCCAACAATCCCTCTCCTCCAATCAAGAGGAAACCAGATTTAAATAACTTCAACATTTTCTCATGGCAAAGGTTATGCTCAAAGATGTCTCATTATTTATAATTACTCAATTTATTTTTATTCTAAATTCTTACACCTACTTGTTCTACTTGGTGATGGAAGGTTACCCTTTTTGCATTGAGAAAAATCCCAGTGTTTTCTATCATACCTATAAACTACTGTTTTGGTTATGCTTCACTGCATGTGTAAGAATACAGTCAATTTCTCAAATGTGGGAAACATTCTCCCCAGAAAAACTGCTACATACTGGTAGCATATAACTGTCAAGCCGAAAAAAACCCAAGAAATGCATTTAATTCTCTGCAGTGTTCTTCACTATTCAGTTTAAATATTTTATAAATTTGCTTTACTCTTTCAATTTTAATTATATGTACTGTATATCAACTAATATATTATTCATATGTGTATTTCAATGTTAGGTCCCCTGTAGCATTTACACGCCTTTCCTTGTGTGAGAGTTTGTACTATGTTTCATGCAGAATTTCCAAACCAATTCTGTATACTCAAAAATAAGTAAGTTTTCATTCTTACTCTATAAAATTATCTATATAGAGCTTGCAATTGCGGAGCTCCAGTAAAAGTATTTCATGGGATTCAAACACATTAAAAAAATTTACTCTTGTGTACTGATCTATCTCAAAGACCTCATATATTACAAATAAGAAAATATAACAATATGATCAGCATCACAATGTAATAAATACTCTTTTTACATAAACCACTCTAGCACAGACAAGGTCAGACTAAATCTTCCCAGAAAAACCTTTTCCCATGGAAAAGTCAAATGTGAGACTTTTTTTTCAATCTCCTCATCCAATTTTTTCATTTGATTTAGTTAATTTACCACAATTTAGTCAATATATTCCAGTCTATTCAGCTTCACTTCTCTGTGCTTTATTTGCTAACTGCATCTATACATCCTAAGTCAATTTCAGTCCCTTTTTCAACAGCAATAAAGACCAAAAGGAAATTCCTTAGACTAGTCAGTTTCTAAGCACTTCAGTTGCAAAGTATTTAGTATCTTTCTAACACCCACTTTCAGTTACTGTCCCCATTATGAGAAACTGAAGAAAAATACTGTAAACTACAGTGCTGAAAACCCAGGCACAATTTAAGAGTCCAAAAGGGTCTGAACGTATCGATTTAATTTCTTATGTCTCACTGACAGGTATCTAAGAACACGTAGAGTCATAAAATCATGGAATAATTTAAGCTGACAGGATCTCTGAAGGTCATCTGGTCCCACTCCCTACTCAAAACAGGGCCATGCTTGAAGTCAGGATATGTTGCTCAGAGACTTGTCCAGTCAGATTCTGAGTATCCTCAAGGATGGAGTTTCAACAACCCCACCAGGCAACCTGCTCCAATATCTCACAATCCTCACTGGGGTTTTTTTTCCCCTTACAGGTAATTAGAATTTTCCTTTCTAAAACTTCTGTTTTCTCTCATGCTTTCACTGCACAGTCCTAAGGAGAGTGCAGCTCCATCTTCTCCATAAGGACCCATTTGATAGTTCATGGTAGCAGCTGTAACCCCCTTTGTTTTCTTCAGTCTGAACTAACACAGCAAGTATACATAACTCTACTTTTTAATGGAAAATGGAGTCTACAAGTGTAAAACTCAAACATAATCAATTGCAGCTTTCTGAAAGATATCTTCTGTCAGGTCCAACTATTTCAGAAGATTAAATTACTTCCCCCTCAGCAACTCCATCCATCATCATATTTGAGTTAGGGAATGCCATTCCTGTAGAACTACTGGAAAGGTACTGGTATGAGTGTTCCTTAGATTACTTCAAAAGGGAAATTAGGTGACAAAGTGCTAAAGCCTTTACTTAAAGAGAGTTTCCTTCCCAGACCACATTAGTACAAAAAGGTGAAAGAACACTTGTAAAGTAAGCCTTCTGCTAACTCTGCTTGACTTCCTGCATATGAGGATGGACCATTCTTAAACTTGGAGGTGGCTCCTGAAAGTCAAAGACAGCAGGAGGCCTGTATGGCTGCACAAGGAGCTCCTAACTAAATTCAAATATTAATAGGAACTATAAAGGAGGTAGAAGGAGGCATAGGTGAACTGAAAGAAATATGGAAATGCTGTCCAAGCATGGAGGAATACGCTTAGGAAAGTCAAACTCCACCTAAAGTTGATTCTAGCAAGGGACATGAAGGGCAACGGGAAAGGCTTCCTCAAGTATTTCACCAGCAAAAGCAAGATTAGGCAAAATGTGGGTCTGATGCTGAATGGGGCAGGAGATCTGGTGATTAGGATGCAGAGAAGGTCTCCTGAATGTCTTTTTCTCCCCATTTTTTTACTGGTAGAACTTGCTCTCAGGAATCCCAGGTCCCTGAGATCAGTTGTCTTGTAAAGTTCACACAAACACTTCAGAATTTAAAATTCTCAAAATATGTTAGGAGAATTTCCTACATCCCCCCTATCAAAATTTTCACAAAATAGGAGGCTAGAAACCAAACAACATGAGAGCAAAGTCATACTTTCTGAACCCAGAATATATGCTGAATTATAGCATATACAATGCTTCCCCATGCCAAAATTCATATCCTTAAGAAGGCTCTGATTATCACAAAATATCCCTTAAGGACAAATCAATTTTTGGTACATAATTTTGTTGGCAGTATATTTACTTAACCATCAATTTTAAAACACAACTGCACTTTTAAAGAAATTAAATAGAAGCCAAATATTTTTCATTACAAGTACCACAGGCTCCAACCAGGAGAAAAATTTTTTTCCAAATGCTTTGTATCCTTTACCTATAAGAATAACCATAATCATTGGGACACCTTACTACTTATAAAAATTATTCCACCCACTGTCAAAACTACGTTAATCTTCCAGAAGTAGGGTATTTGCATTTATCTGGGCAATTCCCTACTACCTTGGTTGCAGAGATATTTTCCTTCCTTAACTGCCAGTATTTGATTTTGGTATCATTCCATCACCTGTTCAAGGACCGAAATGAAGTCTCATTGATTTTTCAACATCTTCCAAAACCCATTGTTGAATAAAATAAATGCAAACTCTACACACATTTCCAGAATAGCCTGCATGCCCTGATTCTGAAAATGTGCATCTGTATCTCAAGTTCAGTAACATTTAAAAAATAAACATGTAGGCAGGGGTTTAAGGCCTTTTCAAAACTAACCTATCAAAACCCTGGTAGTATTATGCAGAAAACTGGGGTCCAGTCCTGCAATGAACTGCCATTACTCCAATAATAATTTTCTCTACTTCGTTTACAGTTACGGGGATTTTCTTGTGTGACTCTCTTGCATACGGACTAATTCATCCACTCAGTCTGCAGACCAAATCCCATCTGACAATAGCAGAGCAAGTGTCAGAAACAGAACTATCCACACAGCCAGCAAAAAGCAGTATGTTCAGATACTCCTTGAAAAGTATTTGGGTAAATTCTTTACAAAAGCATCAGAATGTTTACCAGGTATGACTTTGGGGGAACCAAATCAAAGCACTTACAGAAACAGGCTCCAAATGACTGATCCACAGTTATATCTGTATAGCAGGCACAATAGTGGCACAAATTTTAAACAACAAAGCATAAATTGCAGTGTAACAAAGAGAACAAAATCATTACTCACAAACTCCTTTGTTTGGCTCCTATTTATTTTTGCTCAAGTTATCTAACTACTGAATACTTAATAAGGTTTATTTTCTTGTATTAGCCAGAATTTTCCAAAGTCTATAAAGAGGTCTTTAAAAAGTGCCTAGGCATGTGTAAATTAAATACAATTTCTCAAGAAATTTAGTGTCTTGGTTTTAATAATCTGAAATGAAATAAATCAAGAATGCACAAATTATATATGGAACTATTCTAGTCCCCTAAAGAGAGATTTGTAACAGCTGTTTGGTGGGAGAGAATATTATAAAGTATCTCTTTGGGTTTTTTGGATTTGTTTTTTCAGTCAGAGAAAATTTTTCGAGAACTGTCAACTTTAATAGCATTTTTTAGATATCTGTCTTCAAACAATAGGACATCACAGCTTGAGTGACCTCTCCGCTTCAAGAAAAAATTACAAAATAGGTTTCTTTGTAGAAGATCATTTAAGCATATGCTTCAGACTGACCGGTCTTCTTAAATTAGGACAACAGAAGTAGTATCTGGGTAGCAACGTTCCACCCCTAAGTTAATGCAAGCAAAATAAGAATCAATGTAACATAACATTTAACAATCATTAGCACAAAATTAATGAAAACTGTGTCTCAGTTTTTTTAAATTGAAAGAAAAAGCTATGTTCACAGTAATTCATCTAGATGAGATTTACATCTTTGCCATTGAGTACCTGATTCTACTCCACAGAATTTGTAGAACAGAATCATAATCTTCAGAGTGTTTAATTGTCTGTTCAGACAAGACACTTCTGTTTAAGAACAATGGTTAATGCCTATGTCTAGGAATTAGACTGTCGACACTTCTGTTCTGACTTTCAGTTTACAGTAACGTACAAGGCTCTTAAAGACAGCAGAGATGTATAGAGCACATGACTGCATGTATAACATAAGAAAGAATTATATGCCACACAGAAAAAGACAGGCTGTGGGTGTAAGCTATTGCACTATTATATACTAACTGTCCTACTCCTGATAGTATCTATACAAAAGGGAAGAAATTAATAAACAGTTTTTAAAAATTACAGGAATTTATACTAAAATACACTATTTTTAATGACTTAACTTTCCTAATATGCATTCTGGTGAACTGGCAAGTTCCCCATATTTCAATATACATTTCTCATAATATAAAGGCTCAACATCTCCCACTTGTCCGGATCATCTACTACTAGGTGCCAGAAATGTAAATATCCTAAGTAACTTTTAAAACTATTAAAGACACCTCTTACTCCTTCCATGGGGCAGGAATACAGCTGGGGCTGTTTCAGTTTAAAACAAGTTCTGAATCACAATGGCTATTCTTCAAGCTAAAAGTTTCTAAAAACCCTATCTGGAAATAATGACAAGCTTGAGACCAATTTCCTCAGAAAAACATAATGGAAATCTTGAGAGCCTATTCATGCTGAACATTCATAAACAGTTTTCTTTGATGCCAACAAATCCTATCACATTTGATCCATACAAATTTCTGGCAAACTTCTGCCACATGCTGATATTTAAAATTAAAAGCAGCATAACTGCTTTACTATACATTCAACTGAACCATTAAAAAAGTTCTTTTTTATATACAGTTTCCAAAGAATAGTTTCCCTACACAAGTCTGCTTTTTAAAAACAAAGAGCCTTCACTAGTTTGGTTATATTTCCCAAATATTTTACAAACAATAACATTAACTTGTTTTTTAGCAGTAAAGTGAGAAACCAATATAATATTATCAGACTGGAGTGGAAAAGACATATTCAGGATGTCTAACAACAGTATAAAACGTAAGAAAGTAATGAATAGATCAAGAAAGCAGGAGGGTGAAATGAAGGGAAGAGAACACTGACATCTTCACAGTTTTAGTATGGGTATAGGGAAGCCTAATAACAGTACATGAAATGTTATCTATACTTTGTTCCCACTAGAGTCTGTCACTTTTTCATTTTGGGAAGAAAAACAACAAAATGCTGCCCAGACTAAGTAAACAAGACCACACACAGGCACTCCTGCTTCCCAAACAAATACAAAAGTCTTCAGGAAAAACACAAAGCCATCCAAGGTGATAAAAATCTAATCCCATAGGGGACCACTAATATTACTCCTCAGAAAATTAGTATTTTTATTACCTGTTCAAGACAGTCTTGTGGTTTGAAATCGTTCCAGTAAAACAATTAAAACAACCAGCTCTATGAATAAAACAGTTCTTTTAACTGAGACAATCTAGTTTGTTTTTTACCTTTCAGCAATGTAATGTTCATTTTGAGTACACCATTTAATACTGTTGCCCTTACCAGGAACCTTGGTCATGAACAGAATTTGGACCTGAATTCTTGTCAAGTATAATATAAATTTTGCTAAGGAACACAAAGTGAAAAGGAAAGCTCATATCACAGCAATAGTTAACAAGCACTCAAGGCTCCTCGTAGAAATTTTTCAGCCTGGAATTGTATTTTGTATTAATAAATAGCAATCATTACTGACTATAGTTAGAGGAGACAGTTGATTTTGTCTCTTCATATTCCTTTTGTGCCTGATAAGATCACTATTTCAGGTTAACTAGGTCAGCAAATGTCTTTTTCCATGCAAATGTTAATGTATTAAAAGCTGTGATTCTGCCAGAGGGAAGAGGACTTTCTGATTTCTTTTTTCTTCAATTTATTAGTTACCAATCTGTCTGGGAAATGGGTAATACTAAGACAATGTATGAAATAAACTCCATCAACTGAACAAAAGACACCAACAAGTCTGAAGGTCCTCTGATGCAGCTCTCTGCTCCTGCTCACTGGTTAGTACAATGCCTGTCAGCAGCAGGGAACAGACCACATTTACCTTCCATACTCACAGCTCTAAGAGAGAGAAAGAGAAGAAATTTGCAAGCCAGTATCAAAAGAAGTTTACATTGGCTAAGTATAGAAATACTGCAAATGATACTAAACAATGGAAAGAGAGAAGGTTTTCTAGATACACTAAGACCTTTTGCTTTGTCCTGCTACTATGCAAGAGGATAGCAAAATTGTTATTCAAAGTTGAGGTGGATAGAAACAGTGGGAAGGCCCCAAAATAGTCCTATAAGAGAAGAAAGCTTTCAGAAAATAAACCAGTAAAATACATCCAACATGCCAAGTCCACACCAAAATAAAGTCCCTCTGCTTCGTCACCTTCAAACAAGCAATTTTAAAGCAATTTTTACAGTCAAATGCTTGCATGAAAAACAAAATATTACATAAAATAGAAATAAACAAGCCTACAATAGTAGCTAATAAAGCCTGAAGAAGAAAAACCTGGGTAGAAAAACAGAACATTCTCCAGAAAGAATCATAATCCATATCCACAAATTGCCTTCTTTGCTAGGAATGCAAACACAAGTTACTCTTTTCTCAGAGCCATAGTTTTAAAATAACTGTTTTCTGTAAATACCTCTTCAGTCAAATACATGGTGTATCACTTAAAATGTATTTTCAAATTAGCTTTTTCAGTGTATTAGCTGTATTTACTCAAGATTTACAAAACAAAGTAACAAACTTGGAGTAACGCAACGGCAGAGCTCTTCCACGGATCAGCACAGCAAATACAGATTATGTTGACAGTTATGTTTAAAAAAAACACTGAACAGTGAATGAATGCCACAGGCTTTTTGTCTTACCATTCCAAGTTCATCCTGTAACTCTCTGCAGGTTTTTTCATTAATCCCTAATCTCTCAGAGAGGTTTTTAATTACCTTCTTCTTTTCCTCAATCTTCTCATTCATTTGCTGGTTCATGGAGAAACACTCTTTTTCTAATCTGAAAAGTTTCAGCATTAGAACATTTTTATCAAAAATACTTTTGTCAAGTATACTCTATACTTTTAAAGATAATGGAAATAGCACATGTCATGTTAACACATCATATGGCTTCTGAAGTTGCTTTTTTTAACTGAAAAAAGTTATATATTCCTTCTAGGAAAGGCTTTTCAAGAAGTGGTTATGTTCTTTTCAGTTACTAATGTTTGTGTTAGGCTTCCAGTCATAAATTCGTTTGGACATTTGGATATGGCCTAAAATTACATATAATAAACAGAATTAATCATATTTTAATTAACACAGTAGTTCTCCTCAGAAAGACTGTGTCACATCTCACATAATCAAACCTGATTTCAAGTAGAAAGCTTGTTCCTAAAGTTTCCCTGTACTTGACTATATTCTACTCAGAATGGCATGACTTCATATTTTTCCATCAGCAGACTGTTCCCAAAATTTCAAACAGTTCCTGTACTGTATCAGTCCTCCTGGCACTCAGCAAAACAGATATATAAAGAGCCTGGCATGGCTAAACAGGAAACTCATGAGAAAGCATACAGGACACAGAAGCAGGGACAGAAACACAAGAAAGAATTTAGAAAGCTTGCCCGAGTATGTAGGCACAAGAAGAGATTTCATCACCATATTAAGAAAGAAAACATAAACCTGTTTCTAACACAGACCAGCCAATTTATCAAGACCAGACACAGAGGTCACCACGCTCAATGCCTTTTTTTGCCTCAGACTTCCCTGACAAGATCTTCCAAGTCTTTATGATCAGTAAAAGGGCTCAAAGAGAACAACTGCTAGCAGTAGGTGAGGACTGAGTCCACAATTACTTGTAAGAACTCAACCCATAGAAATTGAAGAGGCCAGCTCACTTACACTCAAACTTTCTGTCAAAGCCGGCTAATGTCACAGTGAGGCTGCTCATTATCATCTCTGAAAGGTCACAGAGGTTGGGGGAGATCCCTGGCAAATGGAGAAAGGCAAATGTCACACCTATATTCAGAAAAGAGGAAAAGGACAAGCCAAGGAACTACAGAACAGTTAGCTTCATTTCAGTCCCAGGAAGGTCACAAAGCAAGTCCTCTTGGAACAAATTTCTGGGCTCATGAAGGAGAAAAGAGTGATTGGGAACAGCCAGTGAGGATTCATCAAAGCTAAATCATGTCCGGCCAGCTCAGCTATATTCCACGGTAAAATGACCAGATCTTTGGACAAAAGGATATCAAGTAGATTAAATATAACTCAACTTTAGCAAGGCTTCTGGCACTGTCTCACACAGTATTTTTATAGCCAAGTTAGGACTTCAGTCTAGGTATGTGAACTACAACATTGATAAAAATAGTCTGATGTTAAAGATTAGATGATAGTGGCTGGTAACAAGTGAAATACAGTAGGATTCTGCATTAGAATCTGTTTAACATCTTTATCCATCACCTGGATTAGGCAAGTTTGTAGTGAACTCAGTGGGCATAAATTACAACAGAACTGATGCACTCAAGAGAAGGGTGCCATTCCCTAGAACCTAGACAAGGAAAAGGAACAACTAGCCATGTACCAGCAGCATGACATAAAAGTAGAGATAGCTAACAGCATCCTGAGCTCTATTAGTAGTAGCATAGCCAGAAGATCAAGGGAAGTGATTAATCACCTTTTATTTGGCACTCATTACATCAATGATAATGACCAGTTTTAAGCACACACCTCCACCCTAACACAGGAAAGACATTGGAATGCACTCAGGGAAGGGCCACCAACATGGCTAGGGGCTGAAATACATATAAGAACTTAGGCAACTTGCTATGTTCAGGCTGGAGAACTTCACAGTGTATAACAGGGCCCACAATATCTAAAACAAAGCTATCGAGAAGATGCAGCCAGTCACTTCACAGCAATGTATGGCTACAGGACAAGAGATAACAGTCACAAATTGAACCTAAAGAGGTTCCAACAAGGAGAAGCTTTTTCTATCGTAACGACACACCGTGGAACAGGTTCCCAGAGGCTGTGCCATCTCCGTTCTTGGAGGTTTTCAAGACCTAACTGGATGAAGCCCTGAGCAACCTAATCTCATGCCTGATCCCAGTCTGAGCAGAAGGTTGGATTCTCCTGCAATCCCTTACAAACTGAACTATTATTTGATGTAACTCAGCAGTGGGAACATCCAGGTGTCTCTCATTTCTTTGTCTCTTCCATCACTTCTGTCTCACTAGAACCAAAAGTAATGCAAAGGGCTCACAAGTTCTGCCAACTTTGAGACTTTCGAATCAATACTGTCACTTTGTGACTTTGGCTTTTTCTTATAGATGAACAGAGCTTTTTAGATGAAGGACTACTCTATCAGTCCTCCAAATACCTACGTGCTTCTGCTTCAGCTTTGCTGGTATTTTTTCCTTTTAGCTGTAGATGGTTACTTCTTATTCTTAGAGAAAGAACTTGCCTGTTTCAGGCCCCCAAAGTAGCTCCTACTCCCACAGCTTTCAGAAACACAGCAAAAGCAGTTCCAATTTATTCTATGTCATGTTCTTATTCTTCAAGTAAAGTAAGTTCACATAGAGACCCAAATCCCATGTTGCTTCCAATTTACATAGTCCTACTGGGTTCAGAGCTAATTAATAAATTATGCAACCCAGAAAAGCCTGTTTGGTGGTTTCAGTTATTACAACCATCTTTTTTGAGAAAATAAATTCTCACAGCTTTGTATAGCTTCAAACTTTGGTATCATCTATCCTACATCAAGTTCAGCTAAAAAGAGATAGAAGTATTCTAGCAAAACAAATTAAAGTCTCCAAGACCTTACAAAGACTAAGGCTTAAACACAAACTTGTGGGACTTCTCCAGAAAAAGGAAAAATATGTTAGGATACCAAATCATGGCTTAAAAGAAAAAGCCAAGCTCCTATCATTGTCTGGAGTCCAAGGACCACAGCCTTCTACGGTAAGTAGATCAAAAGGTCTTGTATTCTCTCTGAAGGGATCCTGTGAAACCAATCACTGATACTCACCCATACCTGTACACTTCAAAGAATAAAGAAGACACAGGAAACAGATGAGGCAATACATGCCTAACTCATGTAATTACCTCAAGGGAACTGAGTATATTGATATCCATCCAAGATAAATCTTGACCTTCACTACCTATCTTTATGGAGCTCTGGATATTTAGGGGTCTGGACTAACAAAATTGTAAGGATATGTTGTTTCTGTTTCTTCAAGCTCTAATAATAAAACCACCAACTGCTTAACTGTGTTAACTTCCATGGAAAGGTTTCCATTTTCTGAAATCACAAAAAATAATTTGTTTTCAAAAAACTCAGTTGGTAGAAGCTGCTTGGAGTAATTGCCTGAATCAAAACATTATTGCAAATAGAGAAAAGTACTGTTTGGATATTAGACGAAGTTTATTATGATATCCAGAATAGATGCTTTAAGTAGGCACATATTCTTTTTTGTATAAAAAAAAAAAAAAAATAGTGCAAATCTGCTTTCCTGGAGAAGCACTGAACAGAATTATCCAGCTTAGATGAAAAGGGAAATGTTGTTTAAGGTTCTCGTTGCATTTCAGTAAGTCAAGTATTTACTTCTCTGTAAACACCAATACCGAAGTTCCTCATACAACTGGTATCATAACTGTAAGAACTGTATTTCCTAGTCTTAGCTACAACATATACATATATTCAGGTATTTCCTACAACAATTCCAGACAAAAAAGTATATTCACTAAAAAACAATTCTTTTTTTTTTTTTTTCAGGGTATGTTTTATGTTTAAGAGTTCCTCCCATTTTTCCAAAATGCAATTTTCATGGACCAGAACTATCCTAAATACAAAAACCTTCACTTCTCCAAGAAATAACTTCATACGTCTATATAAAAGATTCTCACAAGGAACAAAACATTATTGAATGCAGCAACGTAATTCCATATTTAACCACTATCCTTATGGTAGTCTGACCAATTTAATGCAGAAGAGTATCTTTAAGAGGTCAAAGACTTAGTTGGAAAATTACTACTTATGGATTTTCACAATTTTTAACTAACATGACTAATTTAAAATTTAAAAAGCAGATTTCATGTTCTAATAGTTTGGGAAATTCCTAAATAGATGTTTCAGCCACCATCAAAAATGCTTCTAATTAGCTTATATTTTATCTCTATTATCATCCTTGATTCTCAGAACATATTCATCCTAATAACAGAATAACTCACATCTCCGTCACTAACTTAGTGGAGTGTAATTTTTAAGTGTTTAGCAAAAATACAGAGTTGTTGAAAGAGCGCCCACATTCAACACCTATAGGGAGAGCGGAGCTCCACATGGTAACAATTATACAACATTAGTCCACATGCAGGCAGTACTCCACTTAAGACTACTTCTTGAGCTATAAGGTCTTTGCTCATCTGAGAAACTAATATATTTCAGAGAATTAAATGCTCTGAGAAACTCTGTTAAGGAAACTTAACTGTACATGCATACAACTTCGGGGGACTGAGGTCTAGCACGATAAAATAAAGCAACCAAAATTGTTCTAAAAAGTATAGGTAAGGAACTCATATTTTATTAACATTCTGTGGGGCCAAAAGGAATCCTCATGAGAGCATCTTGTACTGAAAACTATTACTTAACACAAATATCTAAGATAAAACATCTTGTGGCAACATGAAAATAAGAATTTGCCAAAATAGAAGAGCATGTGAGAGAACAGTTGCAATGAAAGTTAAAAAGAACAACTTAAAATAGATAAATAAAAGCATTAAAATGCCAAACAAACTAGAAATTCTGGGAATATGTCCTGGGTTTGAGTAAGTGGTGAGTTTTTTTGGTGGCAGGGGAGGGGGCTATAGGGGTGGCCCCCTGTGAGAAGCTTCTTGAAGCTCCTCCAGCTCCAAGTCAGCTCCACCTCTGCACCAAAACTGAGCCAACCAGCTGTGCCTCTGCAATAACGTACTTAAGAAGGGACGTGGTGAGGAGCAATGGGACTTGTGAGGAGGAGTTGCTGCAGCTGCGTGAACATCAAGGTCAGTGGAGGAACGGAGGAAGAAAGGAGGGGGGAGGTGTGCTGGAGCAGAGACCCCCCTGTATTCCGTGTTGAGACAACAGGGCGGCCCCCGCTGCCACTCATGAAGATCTATGGTAGAGCAGACACCGATTTATAGCCTGTGTTTTCCACCTGGATGATCAAGGTGCTGTGCCCAAAGAAGGCCAGGGTCTTGTGAGAAAAGATAGACCCCGCTGTTGTAGTTCAGCACTGGGAAGATTGCAGCATGTGGGGGTTTCCCACACCAGAGCAGCGAGGGAAGGGCTGCAGAGGGAGGGACTCCAGTTGGAGGAACTTGGTGTCACACACCAGAGCAGTGTAAGGAAACACTGCAGCCTGTGGGACGGACTCAAGTCGGAGAATGTTTGTGGAGGACTGTCTCCTGTGAGAGGGGGACCACAATGGAGCAGGAGGAGAAGTTCCAGAAGCTCCTGCACCACTGGGGGGAGGAGGTACAGATATCGGGAGCAGAGCCGAGCCTGGGAAGAAGGGAAGGGTGGTGAGAAGGTGTTCTCAATATGTGGTAATGCTTCTCACTGTCCTACTCTGTTAAGTAACTTATTCTGTTAAGTGTTGTTAGTGTCTGTAATAAATCTATGTTCTTTTTTTTCTTCCCCTAATGAGCTTGCCTTTTGCTCGTGACCATAAGGGGTGATCTGCCCCTCCTGGTCCTATCTCAAATCCCAAGCCTGGCTCATCTGTCCCTTCCCATTGCCAGAAGAAAAGAGGGTGTGAGTGGCTGCATGGTGTATGGCTGCCAACCAGGCTCAAACCACAACAGAATCAAATCATTTTACTGATATATAACTCCCAGTGTAAAGCATTAACACTCCCTTCAGGATGTGGGTTTTATGTTTTTGGTGCATGTGTATCACGTAAATATGTTACTGTGTTTTCAAAATTCATTTATGCAGAATTCATGACTCCACACTTATTTCACATCAAATAATAAAATCAGAACAAGTAATCTTCTGTAATTTTAACCCTTTACTTATGACTACGTCAAAGTTAAACATGATCCATGTGTTCAGACACACATTCATTTCCTAAAGATTTACAAAGATAAAAAACAGTGCAGTTCTGCATTTCAAAAGTTAAGTACTTTCAAAAATCATAGATTTAATTTCTACAAGTCTATTAACTCCCAGGTAGACTCACTGCACCCTTGAATTTGATAGTACCTGTGGCTCATTAACCTCATTACCTTCAACTTCTGACCTGTAGCTTTTTTTTCTGACTCACTTGTTTTCTCTAAGAATGCAAGAGACATAATAACAGATAGGAGGTCAGATGTGAGCTGCTTGTACAATTCAAGGGCTAGTTTATGAGCTTGGACAGAAATAACAGGAGAAGAATTCCCAAAACTTCCAGAAGGAATAAGTAAATGGTATCTGGAGATTGTTGGAAAGTTAGCAGTTCCCTGACTGATTACAGAAAGCCATGCTATGACAGTCATGTCGACAAGAGAAGAGAAATTTTTCTAGACTGAAAACTAAAAAAGGCCCATGTTTCACTTGAGAATAGTAAATTTGGCTGGTCTAAGCTCAATAAAAAGATGGACCTTGGAATATTAGACCTTAGAAGCACTGAAGAAATGGTTCAAGAACAAGCACTGGAAGAACACTAGTTCAAGAAAACTTTTAAGTCTGAAGAGTTTGTTAATCTGAAAGATTTTATCTGTAACATCAATTTTCCATATTTTCTGGACCACGTGAACACAGAAACCTACCAGAAAGAAAAGAAGAAAACTCAGACAGTGCAAAGTAGCTTGTTACATAGAACGCCTGATCCCACAGCCACTCCTCTGAACAAGGCTGTTTTGAACATAAATGAGCTTTTTTAAAACCAAACAAGAAAAAACAAATAAAATGTCACATCAGTGGTACAGGCTTCTCCAGTTCAAGGAAAATAACTTCATACTAGTTTAATGCCATGTATGTTGCTGCCACAGAACACATGTCCAAAGAATAAACAACCATGCAGGATGAGATTATAGTTTAACTAACTGATGTTATTTTAGGACCATAAAGAATTCTGAAATACACTTATTCAAGTTTTTCAGCCGTGAAGACTGCAGTCTTCCTGAAGCATCACATTAGATTACTATCATAATGTACTCCACACATTTTCAGAAGCTTTTAGCACAAAAATTATTTCCTTTGAGAAAAAAGCTTTAATTTTATAATATGACTCTGGTTTACCTAAATGCACAATCTTACATTCAGACTTCTTTTAGCTTTATTTTAATGAAGAGCTCTAAGGTGCTTAGAATACAGCACAGGTTTCAACTATGTTACTATAAACATCTCTGTAACCATGCATATAGAAAGACACTCTCAGGCTCACAAACTAACTTACTTGTAGGAAAACCAGGTTTTTTTGTTCTCCACTATTGCTTGTGAGAATAAGTCAACATAAATACCTATGTGTACAGACCCACATAATCCTAGACTGAAAGAGATGCCAAAAAGCAATACCTTTTTACAACCCATTCTACTAGCTTGAGGCTCTTCCCACACCCTCACTGTGCAGTACTCACTTTTAGTCTTCTTAAACCTCCTCTTCTCCTAAACTTCACCTGCTACTATCCTTTATTTCACATATTCTTCAGTTCTCTGTCTTCCAACACCATTCTTCTTCCCGAAATTTTCTCACCCCGATATATACTTGATTCAGCCAGAGAAGACTCAGTACTATGCATCCTCTATCTGCCTGGGGAATTTAACAAAGCCATTCTTCCAAAAACTGTGTGTTACCACAGACACAGCACATTGTGCTGTACAGGAAAGGAATCCCAGGTAATTTCATCTGCACCCTTTTTCCATTTTTCGTTACCAAGTTAAAATTTTCCACAATTATTCAAAAGCTGAAAACAAAGATTATCCACTATAAATTATACACAACTTCTAAACAGAAGTCTTGAAGATTCGTCTAGCTCACTGAAGTGAAAAGTAATGTTTTCATAATAAGTGCATACAGAACAAATCTCTTATAAATCTGCCATGTGTGTTTTCATACAATACTCTCAAACTCTACCGGCGACAGGAATCTATTGTAACTTATTATCAACATCTTTGCTTTGGAAAATAATCTGTAGCAAATCAGTTATCTCCTCTACCTACCAATAATATGTATGGTTACTGATATGGACCTATTATCAGTGAAATGCCAGGTTCTGAACCTTGACTTGGTTTGGCTAATTGCATCAGATTGTGTCGTTTTCTAGTGACTGAAACCTACAGAGAACGTAAAATATAAGTGGTACTCAAGCTGTCTACTGCCATTTTACAATTAATTTAAAAGGTAACTTACACATTGAGTTTTTCCAAGTTCTCTTGAGCATTGTGTTTTTCTCTCTCATATGCATTTTCTACCTCTTTGAACTCTTTCTTCATCATTTCTAAATTTGAAAGAGCTTCTGTCTGGCTGGCTTTTTCCACCTGCAAAGCTCCTTCAAGGTCTCGAATTCTTAACTAGCAAGTGATAAGAAATCAGTTAAAGCAAGTTAGGAAAAACCATCATGATCTTTAATGCTGTTCTATGTTCTGTTCTGCTTTACAGATAACTATATTTATAGAAGTATATAAACAGAAAACATTGAACACATGTAAAAATGTATGAATACCTACAGTTCAAAATGAAAATAAATAGGTACACTGACCAAAAGCACCTTTTCTTCTCCTTTGGTGGTATCTATATTTTTCCTTTTTCATGAATGTGAGGGAATAGCAGTAAAGGCTACACTTCCGCTCAGCACAAAGCACAGTGGAAGCTTGTTCATGTATATGAACAACGAATAAAACCTTACCAGTCATTCACCCATAAAAGATAAGTCTCTAAGTAACATTATCCTCCCAGTTCCTTTGTGTGTTGTAAAAGTAAACAGAGGAAATTAACTAAATCCTTCCTTTCTACTAGTCTAATCATCAGTTTAAAAAATTTAAGTGCCTGTATATCGAGAAGATCATGAATGAAAAAATAACTGACTGAAGAACAGCAGTACTTATTTTTGTTATTCAGAAAATAAGAAAAAAAAGACACCGAAATTACCTTTTTTTTTTTTTGCTTACTTTTTCTAAAGTCCAGTGTGAAGGGCTTGTTAGTTAGTTAACTAAGCATTCATCGTTTAGCTTTTTCTCACTTGTTTTTTAAAATAAACCGTAATTGCCTTACTGGGTCAAACTCCATGTGACACAGTTTAATAATACAAAGATCTAATGTTCAAGTATATGTGCTACATCTTTCTATATAATCAATCTTTACTGTTAACTGCAGATATCATAACTTTGTTTGAAGCTGCAATTTACTGAGTAATTATATTTGGATCTGCAGTTTCAGGATCCATGAAGCTTTCACTCCAATAGAAGCTGGACATATGCACTGTGTCTCCAAATAACTCTATGTGCCCATTCAAAAAATACAGGGCAGGATATTTAAACAGTTGTATAGAGCTCCCCTTTGTGAAACATTTTTCCCCTTGCTGTTTAAGTACTAGTGGGAACTCTCAAACTTACAGAAGTGACATTTTCTTTTATTATTTATTCTAATAATGTTAATGTTCCCTGAAAAGCAGATATTTTTCTATTACCGCCTCTTATGTATTACCTATTACAATTTCGACACTTTCTGCAAAAAAATGTTTAGTGTTTTCACCGAAGCAAGTAAAGTGGTCTTAACATTTTTGGAAGATTGTATCTTTACAACTTCATCAACTGTTTCACTATAAACTTCTACAAAATATTTAACAAAAAGTTTACCTGGATGATCTCTGAATTGAATTTGGATTCCAAATGTGCTGCTCTCTCTGCTTCAATGTTTTCTTCCAGTTTCTTTATTCTCACCGTAGCTGCCTAAAAGTACATTTTGAAGAAATTTAAGTCCAGAGAGATGACAAACATGACACAATGGCTATTCCTTCCTTCAGTATATTAGGACACCTTACACCAACCTGATGTATTGGAACTACTTGCATTTTGGAACTGTGAGAACTCATACCAAGAAATAAACCAAGAAATAAAAACAGTTTTTAAATATCTAGAATATTAAATTATTTTCTATTTAAATAAAATTATGTAGCATTATGTTATTGCTGCATTTTTTACAATCAAAAAAACTGCAGCTGGAGTCAGAAAGCAGAAAGATCAAGTTAAATATTCCACCTATTCCCTTACTATTTGCTTTTCACCAAGGTTGTCACCTGAGGCAACATAACCATACCCTACATGTTCCAAAATATAATGGGGTATCAACAGATTAGCTACAATTTCATTGATGAGACAGATGAAGAAGAGAAGATAGAGAATTCCTCAAAAATATGTTGGCACTGGCATCTAATTTCCATTTAGGGTGTCCAGAATAGATTTCTTTGCAGCCCTAGACTAGTCATAGCTTCCCTGCAACAAAAATCTGTAAAACGCATAAAATTTTATAGCACTATTTTAGTACTTTTTTACTTCTATGTTTCTTAAGCTGCAACTATTTTGTTATGCTTTTGTCTAGCAATTACCAGGATGTTCATGATCTCTTTTAACAAATACCCTGACTACTTTCATCAGTTACTACGAAGAACATCTGTACACGCATGTGTAGTTTAAGCAAAATGGGATTCTCCAAATTAAACTGTTGCATCTTTCTTATCCACTCTTAGAATGTTTAGAAAAGCACAAAAATGCAAATGTCTATGCTAAGAATATACTCAGAAATTTGGATTGCCTATAAAAAGTTCAAGAAGTAGTCTACATTTTCACTAAACTTCAGGGGTTTTTTAAAGCGATCCAAGCTGAAAACATTTCTTTCAAGTTACAATAAACACAAAAGCAATCATGAGAGACATATGTCCTGATAAAGGCCTGGACACAGAATTTCATCTGGATAAATACTTTTACCAAATGGAGTAATTAAAGATCTGCTATAATGGAAATTCAAATGCAACTTTAACTACACTATTTTCTATCAAATAAAATCTTTTCACTTTGACCAATAACTGAATTGAAAAGAAAAATTCATCCCAAAGTGTCTACTGGCTTCAAGTTAAATAAGGTATATCAAGAAAAAGGAATTAATATCAATAAGTTGTTTAACATAAGCACATTTAATGTTATATAAATACTACTGAAGCTATTCATTTTGGAAAAGTAAAACAGAGTAGCAAGTACTGAATGAAGACTGTATCTTCATTCTGAATATTTAAAAGAAGAGAGAGAAACTTTAATAGATGTGAAAATAAAAGCTCTTGGCAATAAATTTAAACTATGCTTGTGTAATCACACACACAAACCAAAGGACAGACTTTTGAAACTTATGTCCATTGAAGGCCTACTAAAGAGAAAAGCAGCAACTGCACAGAGCTTACCAAACCTACTCCACAGTAAGGTCTGTCAAAAGGCTTAAACTTTGCTTCTTCACTGGAGTTTTATCTGCTTAACATACTTTAAAAAAAAAAAAATGCATAAATGCTACACAAACAATCCCACTGTACTTCTATATTGCTAGGATTATTCTCAGAAATAGCTTGATTTAGACTCTTAATAGTATTACTCCTTCCAAACGTCAGTTCCTACACGCCTTCGCCCTGAACAAAGAATTAGCAAACTACCTCCTGCTTCAGTTTGGAAGGACTCCTCAGCATCCTCCAACAGGTCAACACCTGCCAACAGGATGGTTTTACACAAGAATACTGCCAACCTAGTAAAAGTAGTCAGTGAACAATAAATCTAAGTGATATGGATTTCATTTCTTTTTTAATAGCATTTTAAAAGTCAGCCTGAAAATAATTCTATTTTAAGTTTGAGGAGAAGAATAAAGAAAGCAGTAAGGAAGGTACTTATCATAACATTTAGAATAGGAAATGTATTTTTTTAAAAATAAAATGAAGAAATAGAAACTTCACTAAGAATATTTCACTGCACACTCTTCAGAGAAAAAATGCTTTTCTGTCTTTGGCTAGTTTGTTCAAGTGTCTATTCTCATAGCAAACACTGAAATGGAAAAAGAAAGAAAAAGTGATTCTGCAAGTAAAGTTTTTAGGCACAAGTTACTAATTCACAAGCTCTGTACTGCATTTGATTTCTAAGCCTTATTTCCTGAGCATCAGTCCAAAGTAGAACTATGTCTTCATCCCAGACTCTCCTCAGATGAAACAAGAGGTGCAAGACACTATCAAAATGGTTAACTTATCCTCTCAAATGGAACCCAAAGAAGGGGAAAAAAAACAAAAACAAAAACAAAAAAAACAGATTAATACATAACAGCTTGAGTGAGATCATCTGCAAGAATTAAAAACTGGAGCAATCACATTCTCCCAAACAGAACATATAGGTATCAGCTCTTGGTATTGTTCTTTAGAAGTAAAGTCTATCTCCTTGAGCTGGCGTGATGGACATTAATTGCAAGGACAAGAGACATGGTCCAAAGGAAACATAGACTCCCAGAAATAAAGACACTTCAGTCCTAAGAAAATCGTGGCACAATGAGAGAAGAGAGGCAAGAGCATGCAGACACCTGTAAGAAGTGCCATCACTCCTGTTGTCCAACATATGAGCAATTCCATCTAAAAATAGACATATTTGCAAATGGTTCAGTTGCTTGAGTTGTCACAAGTCACTGAAGAATTAACCTGTAGAATCAGCATTCCTATAGAAAGAGAAGCACTGGAAAAACTAGTGTTTCAGCTACAGACATTCCTGATCACCTCTGGAATGTAAGAAACCAGCTCCTCATTGCAAGCAGGACTGTGTCTAGCCTACTGCAAGAGGTATGACCCCTAGGCACCAACCAAATAAGCCCTAGATGCACCTGACAAGTATCCAATGGAAAGTATTCAATGAGATTCAAGACAGTACATACAGGGAAAATAAATTAGAAACTAGAAATCAAAGTATCTGTTTGACAGACAAATATAACCTTACAGATCATGCCCCCATAAAAAGGCATGAGAAAATTGACTTGTTCAAAAGTGTTTTTTTCTCACAACGTTAGGAATTGCAATGCCCCATTCTTGCCTTTAAAGCTCATCTTCTTATAAGACTTTAATTCTTTAAAGCTTTGCCTCATGCCAGTAATTTGTTACAAATTTTATTTTTGAAACCATGTTTAAAATAGTTCACTGGACCATCAGAAAACAGACCTAGGGAGAGAAATAAAATGTCTTTTCATGCAAGACAAGTCACTGTCAGGGACCTGACAGGAACTGCTACTAATTTCTTGTATCGCTAGAAGCCAAAGATGAAGAGTGAACAATGTGCTCCTCAGAAGTCTCAGATTACTCAAGTAAACCTTAATTTTAGCTCATCAGTATAAACAGCTGTCTTATCCAGAAGAGATTCAGATGTTTAAAAGAGATTGCAGAAAAATTACATATGTAAATCAAGGAGTCAGGTAGATGCTGTCTGTGTCTGGTGAAGCAGTTAATATTCTTTTTCCTACGTTCTATGATTTGACTGCTGAAGCTTATGGTTCACCATACATCTAGCAAAATCAGTCAGATGCCAGCAAATCAGTGTGAAAACAAAAACTTCATGAGAGATATCTAATCTTCCATTAGCATATAAGCCTTGTTAAGCAATACAGAGTTATTAAGCATGAAGAAATTCACATTTGCTCAGATTGCTCTAAGGAAAAGATTCTTGGGATTGCTGCTTATGTAAGTGCACATCAGCCACAGAAGTTGCACTTAATTCCAAACTGAGTCTTAAGTTTTATTTGGGAAGAACACAGATGCAAAAAAAAACACTACACAGAAGATCTTGTCTATTTTGATAGGGAAGGTTCAAACAGCCTCTACTGATATTTATATGCACTTCCCTTCACAGCGAGAAGCTGAATGCTCTGCCAGTGAGAATGATCCATTACGCACCCTGTGAGGAAAAGAAAGAAATGTCAGGGAAGAGTCTAACCTGTAACACCATACTACCAATTCCAAAAAGACAAATGGGAAGAAAGAAGTTTTGTGTTCCTGTCTGACTAACAAAAAGACACTGGTACCATATCATGTTAATCAGACAAACCTCTTTGAACCAGACGAAAGGTGAGAATCAGTATCCTTACTGAATCATATGTGTCCAAAAATTTGACACAATGGTTGTCTAGAAAGAAGAAGCTGTGTGAAAACTAGTTATACAGAAATGTTGCAGGCCACAGACACCCAGACGACAGCCTCTCAACTGGGAGTCAAATGAGAACACTTTCTGCTTTAGCCTGTGAAGCTTCTTGTCAGGTCCAAGTCAGAGATTGATCTCAAGGATGGATCCAAAAAAGTGGGTCCTCTGGAGGTTACAAAGTGTTTGCTTAGCCAACACTGAAAACATTGGTTACTCAGTAAGATTCAGTCACTCATTACTTCTATGTGCTCCTCACAGGATATATGAAGGCAGACATCTTAAGTAAAATACCACACAAACTCACTGGATCTCCACAATTTCCTTATATATTCAAGCTCAGTCTGTTTCAGTCTTAACTTAAAGAACAAAGATATCTGGGGTCTGTTTTTATGATAGCAGAGACAGAACTGTGATTTTTCAGAAACAACGAATAAAAATTACTAAGAAAACTTCAGTGTCAGCCTTAGAACTTGTGAGCAACCATGCTACATGCTTACTCTAATACCATTAGGTTCAGCCACTTTTTCCAGTGTCCTATTGCACGTCAATGCCAATGTGGTTTCCAGGAGACATTTTCTGCACGCTAACAGTCTGCAATACCATTTTCCAAACTGACCTTGGTGGCCTCCACTTTTCTTAGCCCCTCACACTTGCTTTAAGTACTGCAATATTTGTGAACACTGAGGCATTCTGTACTGGAAGAATAATTTAGTATCCTACATAGGTGAAATGCCACAGCCACAGAAATGTAA